ATTTTTCTAAGAGTGGGTTATCTGTATTATAGTTTGGGCATAATAAAATAAAATCATGAATATTTTATTATATTGAATTGGCAAATAAGTCCTTTCGGTTATTCTGTTTATTTTTATGTCACTATGATACACTTCTTATCTGATGAATTAATCCTTAAGGTGGATTGTTTATCTTGTTTGTAATATGTCAACAACTATATCTGTTAACTCTTGTTGAAACTAGTTTAGTATTGTGTATTATTGGCATATTTTATTGTATTATTTTAAAAAAGTAAGCGTGCTGCAAAATCTCACAGAAAAACTTGCAGTGCTTATGGGGATGATGCCTTAACAAAACGCACCTGTCAAAATTTCATTCAGAAAATGTTGACATCAATGATGATCAGCTGTCTGGTCGCCCACATGAAATTGAAATGAGCAATGATAAGGCCATTGTAGACTAAAACCCCACCCAATCAGTGCGAGAGATTGCTATGGCCCTAAATGTGTCGCACGCAAGCGTAAAAAACCAATTGCACAAGCTCGGCTATGTTTCCAGGCTTAATGTTTGGGTCCTTCACATCATTTTTTTTTCCGAAAATCACAAAAAATGTTATAACTTCAATGCAACTTTAGCTATCTACAAGAAATTTATCAGGAATTTAGGGCCATATAAACTACACAAAATGACATCAACAGGATCTTCATAAAGAAACTACAATTGGAAATAAAAATCTATAAGCAGTTTTTGTTTATCTATTTCTTATGTAGGTATTAAATCAAAAACAATTCATACGACTTTGAAGAGCAATAATTCAGTTTTCCAACGGATAAAGTAACATCGAATTTGGAGAATATCCTGAAGAGTTACGAATGATCGGAAGGGTGTTGTGTTCCACCAAGACAACGGTAGGCCCCACACCTCATAGGTCAATCGCAATAAATTATTGAGCCTTGGATGGGATCTTTTGCCCCACTCTCCATATTCACCAGACCTAGCTCCAAGTGATTATTACTTATTCCGGTATCTGCAGAGTTCCATGAATGGAAAGAAATTCAAAAGGAAGAGGGCTTCAAAAACCGCTTGGATCAGTTTTTTAACAATTGTTTCCAGACATTCTTTGAACATGGGATTAATCAGTTTGGGGAAAGACGGAAAAAGTCATATTAAATAATGGAAATAGCTAAAAGCAAGGTGTAATTAGATGGATATATTAATTTTGTTTTTCTCGCTAATTATAATCGACCAAGGATGTGAAAATTATATATGGGGAACGGACAGAAAAACACTTTTTGAAATAATATATAAAGATTTTAAAGTGTTAAAAAAGAATAGAAGCTGTGATTGATAATAATCATTGCCACAAAAAGGATCGTAATTCAATTCTCCTCGATAGTAGGTATTCTCATAAAATTTCTTAAGGCTAAAAAAATAGGTAGGTACAAGTAGCAGTGAATCACGGATTTAATTTTTATTTAGAGATTTTTTTCTAACATTTATTAATCTGAAAGAAAAAGAAAGACGATATATGATATGTTTCAATGGTCCTTGAAAATCTGTTTGCCATATTTACCGTTATATTGCCGCAACCAATAGACAAGCAGTCTACAAATCTTGTAAAGAAAACGGTAAATGTAACCATCAGAAACCTACTATCGGACCTCACGGACAATGCCGGCCTTAGACATTCGGCGCCAGTTGACAATGACGTCATCTCTCCTAAAAATTAAATTAAATTTATTTCTTAAGCTGTTTTATGTTATGTATTATTTGAATTTTATTTCGTTCAAACTTTCTCTAATATTTTACATTGTTGAGGGGCTAAAATTAATTATTTTAATACATTTTGTATTTTTTTTTTCTGTAGATGTCGGAGCAAGGGTTGGACAAGATTTTTAAGCAAATTCAAATTGATTGTTTCATATTCTTAAACCAATAGTTGCTTATAGTTAGATGATTTCTTCTAATAATGCTATTTTGATTTCGATTGAGAGTGCGCCATAAATTTTCAATCGTATTTATGTCTAATGATTGAAGAGGAGTATGAAACTGTTTTCGTATTTTAAAAATTCATCATAGTTGTATAAACTGGTTCCTTATCCTCATCTTTTCGACTCTTGTGACCCGGTTACGGCGCAAAATGTACACCTAGAGCTCTGCATTCAAATTCCCTTCCATCGGCACAATACTTTCCATTCCATGGTATGAAACAAATCCCTACATCATAATATGATTTCCTTCATATTTGTCTGTAACGGAAACATTTTGCTTTTGCAGTTCTTACGCCGCCACCAAATACTCTTCCAGTCATAACAGACCTAAACAAATTAAACTCGCTCTCATCAGAAAATATGACGTTTTCTCCGTTTTCTGAAGTTCAGGTTTTTATAACATCCTTTTCACTTACAGTTTTAACTTGTTTTGCGTTCCTAACGTCTTTTTATAACATACTTAATGGTGGTAAAATTTAACTCTAATAAGTCCAAAAATTCCTGGTATGATGTATATTTAGTCCTCTACAAAATACGAGTCCATCACACTACATTTATGAGTCTACATAAACAATTCACTTGTCTTTGACCAAACGACATTCCAGTTATTGGTTGAAACACGACATAATACCGATGGGAAAATTCAGAATTATGTTATATTGTTGGTAATTAAAGGCAATAAAAAAGCTGTCATCCTCGCCAGAAATGGAGCTGTGATCCCTATTGTATGACCAGAACCTGCAGTTAATTAGAACAAGCCTTTTTTTTTCTGCCTGCCTTTCCTTACAGGCAATACGGGTTGTGGCAACAGTATGCGTATGCCACTGCTGGCAGTATAGGTCTGTTTAATTAAAATTTTGTTAACATTATTATTTATGAGGTGTGGACTTGTTTATGTGCACAAGCCCACACTTTTTTTTTCTTCATTCTTCCACCTGAAGTCTGTCTTGCAGCTTCTCTTAGCTTCCTTCTCTTCTTCCCAAATTAAAATGTGTATGGGTGTGCTGTGTGCAGCATCTTTCCAGCCGTATACGAATTCCCTATAATGTGGGTAATTCTCTCTGCTCATTAGCTGGGGGAACATGCTCTCTGTCAGCGTATATATCCTCGTCTCTCACAGAAGCTTAGCTCTTAGTGCCTCACAGGCAGTACATTCGACGACCACATCATCGGCGGTCTCTGGAACATTGTAGTGGGGCATAGCGGATCAATATCATTCCCGTGTTTAACGAGCTTCGCTCGGAAGCCCCCATGTCCCGTGAGGAGTTGAGACACCCAGTAATCCGAGAGAACCCATCTTGCATCTAATCGTGACTTGACCGTGGGGAAGTACTTTCTTAGGGTAGCTCCCTTCGGAGTTGCAATCCATCGCTCAACTAAGTCCTCCCTGATAATTCTTTTTCATCTTCTTGGGTCTTCTTCAATTCCCATCTTTAGATGTTATGGTAGATCTGTCGAACCTTCTCTTTTCATTTTAAAGAGGTAATAGTCTTCTCGCAAGAAGAGATCGAGAGGTGTCCCCCCCCCTGCAAGTACTTGCACTGCCTCGTTAGATACCGTTATAATGGTTCTAGTAACCCGAAGTAAAGCCAATCTCTGAATCGATGCTAGCCTACTCTTCTGCCGGTGCGAAAGGTTAAGGTTCCAGGCTGGGGAACCATATCTCGGAATACCCAAAACTACTCCTCAGTATATAGTCATTGTAGCAGGGTATCTGAGACCCCAGAAGGCGTCTCCGACACGACTGGATCCATTTAGGGCCATTGTGACTCTAGTTCTCATTAGAACAAGCCAACAATTAATAAAAACACTACCTCTTCTAGAATCAAGTGGTTTCTAGGTCTAAATAGAAAGTAAATCCGACTAATTATTGGGATATTAACAGGCCACTACAGATTTAAAAGACATCTAAAAATCTAAGGGATAGTTGACGAACTGTGCAAACTGTGCAGACAAGCCCCGGAAATTGTCTTTCATAACATTACAGAATATCACTGATTCGCATCGCTTAGATATAGACTTCTGGGCACGGATAGAATACCAGAACAGAAAGTTTTGACCATAAAATGGTCATCGATTTGGAACCTCATTAGAAAACGAAAAGTTTTAAGGCAGAGATAGAGGCGATATAGACAATTATTGGTATTACTACCTCAAAGGACCAATATGCCCATTGCCAAATTGAGTCGATAACGACAGAATCTGCAAAGACTTTCGCTCACCACTATACCTTCTAGTGTTCTGGTCCACTGTGCTCATCGATTAGATTTGGTTCGTCCCTAAACTGGGTGAAACAAAAATGAGCTCACCTCTAACTTTAGGAACTTACCTAGTATTTCAATATTCTTAATCTGAGTCATTCCATTTCGACGCGTGGTCCAAGACCTTATGGTCACGATATAATTATGATTCATAAGATGGACTTCGTGTTATCCTATAACCCTACTTTATTTAGATCGCGATTTTGTTCTTCGGCAAAGTCTCTACTGGTATTTTTCAGTTAAAATCAGAGAGTTAATTAATTATGAGTTAATCGTTGCTTTAAACTCCCGATCACTCAAAACAGATAAATATACCGCTTACGGATTCTTTTCAGTTGCGGTCTTGGCCTTACCGAACCTTTCCAATTTCTTTTGGGTAGACCCCGCTATCCTGCAAACTACATCTATGGTGTGATTATGTGTGACATTGTCGTTTATTGCAAAAGTATACAATTAAATATAAATAACAAAACTCTTCATTTCTTTTGCTTTAAGATTGAAGTAAATCTGAACTAGTTTTATAATTAATCCACAAATTTATTATCATAGCTATTGAGAGGCATCTTATGACGAAAGTTCCAAGTTCAAAATTTCAATTTTAAAGATTATTAAAATAAATTATAACAATAGTATTTGTTTTTATAATGTTTTTCTCATCACTAGCAGCGTTTTTTAATTAAATCAAATTAGATTTCAGTTATATTATACATAATTCCTTCCGAATTGATACGTGTTGATAACACTATCAGCTGACATTCTCACTGACAACTTTCACAGAAACTTAACGCAGATCTTGGGTTAAATTGGCGGGTTGAATCTTATTATTTTTATCGGAAATTAATTTTAAGAGATTCCTTATAGGAGGTAAGTTTCTGTTATGGTAAATCTGTATATGGTTTAAATTAACTGAAGATTGTCATTTTGCCGGTGAAGATTTACATTAAAAATGTGGTCTTATTGGGCAACGTGGTTGTGTGAAATGTGAAATTTTTAATTTTCATTAAATGCTGAAGGTGTTTCATAGAATAGCGTTTGCTAATTTATCTGTAAATTCCTCACATGGATTACTTATCTATAATTGCTTATATTGAAGTAGTTATATGACAATTTTTGCTTGAATTGTATTTTGCTTAGTCAATTTAAGTGGGAATGTGATCATTAAGTTAATTTAGATAATTATTAATATTAGTCAATCAATCATTTAGTGATAGATCATTAATAAAGTACTTAACAATCTCTATGAAACTCTCATGCTATGTCTACTTTACTTTAATTCAATATATTTTAGTTCATATCCACTTGTTATTCATCGATAAGTTAAAGTAATATCTGAATGATATCTAAGGTTTAAGAATAATCACCAACTTTTATTAATAGGTCTATTATGAACTTTGGCCTTATTTCTCTTACAAAATTGCATTGAATGTATGACTTATAGTGATTCATCAGATTGTTCATGATTAATTGGTTCAAAATGAATTTATTTCATAAGATTTGAGGTTGTCACATACGTCTTGTCAGGTTGACAGGTGGTCAGAATCACTTGATCAGACCGTGTGGCCAAAAGTGTAAGGAGAGGGCCGATTACAGTTTGGTTTATCCCTTAATCTATCCTAGTTAGTCCAATTACAATTACCAAATCTTGGTTATTTTTGGAATAACATCTAAAGTATTATCAATCTGATCTTGACTGACATTCATACTACTCATGAAAATCATGTACTGTTACCATAGTTAGATTTTATTAGTGATTAGTCTGAATTACTTAATTGTCGGAAAAGTAATTTTTTTTTTTTGTGATCTTTCAAAACTGAACAGTATTTTTTAAAAATGTGTATTGATGATAATTTTGGTTTTTAGGTAAGGTATCTTCATTTTCATTCTCTAGTCAACAAATTTCCAGAAGGAAGAATGAAGGCTGAAACAGAGAGATTGCCCGGTAAGTTAACATGATGACAATTTATTTATCGAAGACATGAATATTATATTTTTCATTTATGATTTCAACTTTCTTTTCTGAGTTATAATTGAATTGTGATGTATTTTTTAATATTCTGGTCATTTTTAAGCAATGATCGATTCAAATTGATCATTCATTGTCGATAGCGTTCAATATTAACGGTTTTATCAGCTCATAATAGATCACACCCTTCTGATCTATTGTCTGATTGAGCATTGTGCCGTAGCGACTCGGCCTTACAGTCTATGCTAAGCTTGGATTTACTCTGGATCTTTGAAGCTTAGCACTCAAAATATATCCACTTTTTATCACCTGTCATAATTCAATAGAGAAATGACTTTCTTTTCTACCTGTTGATCAGCATTTCAGAGGTGGTCTTCTGGCTGTCTTTCACTCCATTTTTGGATCTTTCCCATGGCTGTTAAACTTATGAAGACAGCTTCTTGTGTTTGAGCATTATCTCCATCCAACAATGCTTGCTATTGTTTGTCTTCAAACTTTTTCGGTGGTCTTCCACTTTCTTGATTTCTCATTTGAAAATCACCACTTTTGACTCATTCAAAGCACTGATTTACCAAGAGCATGCCTAACTGCAAGTTTTGAAAATCATTTAATGTGTTTCTATAGGAGTTTTCTTCAAATAGTGATAGAAGATTAAAGTTGTTCGCTAATTGTTGTGTGTTGAAAATCTTTACCAGCTGTCAAAGAAACAAAACGATGCCATTAATGCGTAACTAGAGCCTCTATGGGCGAATTATGGTTTCCTATTTACACTTGTGGTAATGTTTAAATAATATATTTTTATTTTCATTATTACTGGTATTGGTGGGTGTACTTAATACAGCAAGTGGGCTTATTGATCCTTTTTGCCAATTCCAAAGACAATACTACCATTGGTTGTCTATCGTATCTCCAACTCTGTCTCAAACCTTTTTGTTCTTCTAATGAAGTTCAAAAAGGTTGGACCATTTTATGGAGGTAGCTTCGTGTACTAGTATTCTGTCTCAGCCCAGAAGTCTATATCTATTTTTTTCATTTTTAGTTACTTATATACTTTGTTTTTATTTGCTTAGAAACTGTATCTATACGAAGACATTTCACCAGTCCTGAGCTCATTGATCATGACTACTGGAGTGAGTATCACTTATTAATTTATTATATTTATGTGCCCTCTATAATTTAATTTTAATAACATTTATTAGTTTTATTTTTGTTAAATTTAGTTTTCTATTTGAGTTTAGTTCATTGTTAGGAAGTACTGTTTCAAGACCAATAGTTGTGCAAGGAGGTGATTGGGCCAGGATCACGCTGGACTGCCATATATTTGTCCTTAATTCATTATTAAATTAAGAGTATCCTCTTTATAGAGGAGGATCTTCCAACTCCAGGGTCAAGCCACGCCCACGGTTCATGAAAAATTACCTCATCCGCCGTATTCAAACCTGGAACTTTGATCTTGGAATTCAGTGCCTTACCACTGAGTTACCATGCTCCCAAAACTCACATTATAATTATATTAAACTAATAAATTCAATAGAATTTTTCAATTTTAGTTTTCTTGATTTTTTTAATTGTTTATTTTATTTTAAACTTTTACCTCTTCCTTAATGAAGATGAATTATATAGTTATAATAAAATAAAGATTATTTTAAAATCCTACTTATTGCTTTAAACAGTAAGCAACGGGGAAATGTCAAGTATACTCAACTGATGCAGTTATGGTGCTCATACATTATTAACATGTCTTGGTCCTCCCTAGTCTTAGAATAATTTGTATAATTATATGTTCTTATAATTGTGTTATAACTTGTTACATTGATTAAAGTTCAAAAATCATTCATGTAGATAATGATTAATTATGAATGATTGGCAGAAGTCCTCTGTCACTATCTTATCAATTATATTATTATTATTATTATTGGTTCCTTTCAAATTTGAACCAATTATTTTGTTATTCTTTGTTTTATAAAGTACTTTCTATAATTTCAATTTCTTCATTACAACTGAACAATTTAATTTTTAGATTGCCATTCTGTTCAATCAGAAGATAAAGAAAATGAAGAAAAACTATCAGGTTTGTTCTAGTCCATTCATCTTTCCTTAAAAACTTTTTTTTAAATAATTAAAATCTTAGTGAATAGTTTCAAACATACTGATGCCTCTATATGTTAAGATGTTTCTCCATCACTGATCATACTATAACCATCATAACAGTTGTATGTTTCTTTTATGCTGAAGCAGCTGTTGTGATATTGAATGCACTGCATGGCATAGTATTTTAATGTAATAACTTTTAATATATATATATATATTATGAATCTTGGATTTCAATACTCGAGACTTAACATTAACATGGTAAAGGTATCAGGTCAGTCACCAAATAGAAGTGAAACCTTAGTTTGTTAAAGAATCAGATTTCGAACAGAAAGAACCAAATAAAAGTAATAAAAAAGTACCAAAAACTAGAAAATCATTTTAAAAAATATGCTGCGGAGTTGTGACTTACCTTCTTTCATGCTAGTGATGGGTTGAATGTTTTTAAAAAGACTTGGTATAAAAATTTTAAAATTTAATTGGAAAAGTGAGGGTATATCGACCAAAGTTTCTTATTAGTGAAAATATTGAGTTAAGAGAAATGATGAATTCATACAATCCCTATTAGCCAATCATCTGTTGTATAATAGCCATACAAAAAAATGTATTAATTGCATTTACTCGTATTGTTGTATATTATTTCTCCATGGCCTTTTTTTTTTTTCTTTATCTCCCTTAATGTTTCATCAAAACCAATGGTTGATCCATCATTTTGAAGATTACCACCAATAAACAAATGAAAAATAAACATTTAATAATTAAGAATGTTTCTTTTAATATTTGACTTGAATGTTGGCAAATGACCATACTTTGCTTGAACAATAAGCCACTACGTCTTAAATCTTGTTTTAGCAGAGAACACAGTCAGTCAGTGCTCTTTAGTGTATCTGCCTCTATTACTGCGTATTCAGAGTATTGAGTTTATATTGAACTGAAAATAAATCGACTCCAAGTTTTTGAAACTTACTTCCAAAATATTCATCAATTTTTTTTTTGGTTTTTTTTTTTTCGCTTTCGGATTTTTCACATTTATCTGGAGAAAATATTGTAACAAGTAATAACTGGATGAGGCAACTTAGGGAGAATGGAGGGTCATTTTTTATCACAACACAAGGCCGCATGTTATTTTGACCATAAGACAGAAGTTCTTATATTTTGGTTGGGACATTCTATATCATCCTCCATCCTTTCCAGACCTTCATTTAATTTTGTTTCTCTCGTTCTCTCTATGATAACTGTCACAAATTCGAAAGCGAAATAAAAATGCACCTCGTTGAATATTTTGCAAATAATTCAACAATTTTAGAAAGAAGACATTATAAGGTTTTCTAAGAAATGAAAGAAGGTAATAGAAAAAAAGGGTTCATGTATAACACGGTAAATCAACTTTCAACAACAAATATCGTCTATTGATTTCGCATAAAAAAAAAGAAGAAATTTATGGGGCGCCGTAATGAAGAAAAAAGTTATCTTCTTATTTTTATTAGGAAGCTTATGTTTATAATTTTTTCATATTTAAGGCAATAAAACCTCCAATTTTCTTCAGATGTTGATTAGTGTATCAATGAATATGTGTAACACCAAAAAATAGTTTTTAAAAAATGTAACAAATATTTAATTTTTGACAAATGGTGCCACATCAAAAAAAGAAACTAAAAATAAAGATTGCTCTGATGGTGGGAAAATTGTCCCGAAACATAAGAGACAACTAATATAATTAAATAAAAAAATATGAAGAGAATTGGAAGTTTTATTGCCTTAAATATGAAAAAAAAACTAAGGTATGAGGTTTAGACCACACGATAGAAGTAAAACCATCAACAAAGCAAGATTAATAATATAAATTATAAATAATAGCTTATTATAAAGAGGATGAAATGCTAAATATTTCCCTCTCTTACAGTGTGGAGGTCCGGTTTTTAGTTTCTGAGATATTTTATTCTATATCTTCTATAAAACTCATTATCACTTGGTTTTCGACACGTATGTTTTCCTTTTCGCCTCTCTAACACTAATTTTGAATTTAGCCTATTATAAAGAGGATGAAATACTGAACAATATCCTCGCTTACAGTATGCATGTCCAATTTTAAGTTTCTGAGATATTTTAATCCGTATGTAAAAACATATCAATTAGCCGAATTTGCACAGGTGTCATCACTTTGGAAATCTGACGGATCAATCTAATTCACTCTCCACAAAAAAGCGGAAAACTCGCCTGAAGGAATTTTCATTTCTTTCGTTGCTACATTCTAAAACAAAAAAGAACCTTTAAGAATAAAATTCTTTTAATTACATGAATACTAACCTAGAGATGGATGGTTATTTGACTGTTGAAACCATAAGGATGAAAATAGTTAGGATATTCCGTTAAAAAATTATGTTTATTCAGTTTCATCATCAGGAGTAGAAATTAAAAAAAAAATGTATTCATCAGCCCTATGCGTTTGGATTGTAACATGATTCATGTAACAAACTCAATAAACATAATTTTTTTACTACAGGTGCTGACCATTTTTCATCCTTACAAATATTAACATTTGCTTATTTTTATCATACAAATTATTTGCATGGGCCAACCACTTTTATTAATCTTAACACAGCAACAATGTTGCCTAAAAACACTTTGACTGTTTATATTATCTATAATATCTACTTAATTACTTGTGATTTGTTTTTCAGTTTATGAGAACAACAAGAATGAGGTAGCCAACGGAGAAATGAGCGTATTGGTGGTCGACCACGCCGCCAACGAAGGTAGAACGCCTCAACTTGAATTGCATGTTGAATGTGATAATCCTTAACTGTAACCTGTTGACACCCTTGTGCTAAATGTCTGTCTTCTTGTAGTTTATAACTTCAGCGATGAAATTATAATTGAGCAAGAATCTGAAATGGTGTTGCCGTGGACTAATTTCCATTATGAAGAAGGTAAATTTTTTATAAAAATTTAATATCTTAACAACTATATTGGGTCGAGGAAAAAGTAATTTTTTTTTTTATTTTCATATTTTTTTAAGCAAATTTATTTATATAAATTTCAAACGCTAACCAATGATATACGTGCCATTTTGATTTCCTTTTGCCACTTTTCTTGTAAAGCCATAAGTCCGTCACTTGAGAAATTCTGAGATTTCTGGACAAAAACTGAACAAGTGATTTTCATGATCCTCTTTTAATGGCAGCTTTACACCATTAAGAGAGTTCTGTAGAGACCGAAACAAATGGTAGTCCTGGGTCATTAATGGGACAAGGCCTGGGTCATTAAAGATTTGTTTGGTCTAGTGTTGTCATGATGGAAAACAATACCTTTCCTATTGATCAATTCTGGCCGCTTTTCTTGAATCGCCTGCTTCAATCACACAAGTTGTTCACAGTAGAGAGTTGAATTAATGATTTGGCCAGATTCGAGCAGCTTATGATGAACAGTTCCTTTCCAATCCCACCAAACACTCAGCAGCACTTTCCTTGGCGTCAGTTCGGGCTTAATCCTTTTTGTGAAAGTTTTCCTAGCTTTGACCATGATCTTTTTCATACATTATTGTCGTTTGTGATCTTTTTTTTATCACCCGTAATCATTTGTTTAAAAAATAGCTCAATTTTCATATTGTTTCAGAGCGGCAATTGTCCATTAAATTTGTCTCTGTTAATACATGTGGAACCCAAGTACCCTTCTCCATTTGCTATATAGCCTTCTGTAAATGGTTTAAAATTGTTTTCTGATCGATATTTAGTTCCGTAAGATAAAGTATGTTGGCTCGATGTTTTGTCAAATCTCAATGACTTTTTTAACGATTGGCCGACCAGTGTGAGGTTTATCTTTAACATCAAAATATTCGAACCGAAACGAGCGAATCAATTCTGACAGTGGTATTCACTTTAGTTCACCATAAACATTATATAAGTTTATATGAGCCTGTGCTGCATTTTACTTTCACTTACCTATGTATGTAATATCTAGTAAGAGTAAGTATTTCAATCATGAACATTTTTTAATCTGAGTTTTAAACAGAAATACACGTTTTGAGGTTCCCTGAGTCCAAATACCCAAATCCTGCAAAATGGTCTGTGTATATTTATGTGACAGGTCTAGCTCAAAAATGAAAAGTCGTATGAAAGTGAAATTACATATTCAAGGTTTGTGTATATCTGAGATGTTACAGCAACTTTTTTGTCAAAATCGGCTAACCGGAACTGTCACTTTATATAATGGACCAAACACATTTTTATGATTATCTCGAAAACTGCTCTAACGATTTTGATTAAACTCATCATATCAGTATAAAAATAAGAGATCGTAACGGAGAAGAGTTGTAATTGAGAAACCAAAGGAAACCCAAGCTCGCCTGAAAGATTAAAACACGCTTCCACATGTATCATGAGATTAATATAATACGGACACCGACAATATTATATAAATATACTTTTCATAAATGCTATTTATTTAATATTTAATTGTATAGATTACAGTGATATAAATATTAAAAGTTGTATATATATGAGGGTACTGATACAAATAAAAATACCCATAACGAAATATAAATAAATATAGAGTATATAATTTTTACTTTCCCTTCGCTTTGTCTGAAAATACTTATTTGTGCTAAGAAGGTGGTAAATGAAATTTATGTGATGCGCACACCGGACCAGATTATTTTTCTCTTTTCGGAATTAAAAAAACAAAAGTGATCTTTTAGAATCTCCATTTTTAAAACGAAATAACTGTTGACTGAGTAAATAAATTATGCTATTTTTACATACATAATGTTCTATGGACTGACTTCAAATGCAATATAAAATGGCTTCATTGAATAAGGATTATAATGAATTTTAAAATCACCTAATGGGATAAAATGAAATTAATTTTTCCTCAATCCAATATAACTAAAATGGAGTCGTATATTTATTTTTAAATATACTGAATTTCTTTATGTAGATATTTTCAAAGTATGAAGTTAAATTATATTTATTATTTTCTACTATTATAAAGTATACAGGGAATATTATACAAGTCAGAAGTTGTTGAGTATCAGTAATTCATTGAAGGACTTAACACTTACTTGCTTACTAAGTGATCTTGGTTAGGGGGTTATCAGTTGAGTTAAGAAATTGTCATATAAATTGATTTATTTTAAAATGTATAGATTTTCTTGTAATTTTGATTGCTTTCATTTACATATTTATTTATTATATGAATGGAGTTCCCAAAGGAAATACATGTTCCGAGGTTCCCTGAGTCTAAATAAGCAAGTATCGCAAAATTGTCTAGCAGTGTGTGTTAGAGCTCAAAAACATTATATCGAATGATAATACTTCTTAAAAGGGATGTTATAGCAACTTATTCATCAAAATCGCTTAATGTAAAATGTATCTTCATACCATTTATTTATAAACTTTCCTCAAAAATGGCTTTAACGATTTTGATTAATTCCGTGTAAAATTTAGTTGGCTTTAATTTTAGGCAGGAATTATTCTTATTGAAATAGTCTGATGGCCTAAACACCGCATTATCAAAATTTCTTCCTCTTGAATTTCTTCCTCTTCCTCTTGATTATCAAAATACATTTGATGTTGTTTATTTGAAACAATTAATTGTTTCACATTTTTACTAGTAATAAAAAATTCTTAAATATTAACCAGGAAAGAATTTGATAATTAAACAAAGGAAAATAGGAGATGGTAATGTGGAACTGATGGTACTCAAGTACGCATAAAATACTATATCATAGTTGAGGAACGGGCTGCAATAATACTATATACATATACATGTCTCATTTTCATAAATGCTAGCATTTCTATTATTTTATATTTAATTCTATAAATTACAGCAATATAAAAATTAAAAATTGTACATATACTAGTGCTTAAACAAATAAAAATACCCGCAATGAAGTAGTGGAATAGATAAATAAATATAGTGGCATCCTTTATCACTAGCACTCTTGTCGGAACTAAAAAAAATCGTGGAACTTTAATCATTTGTCATTATTGTGAGTGCAAAAGGTTGTATGTAAAAATTGATTTTTTTTTTAAACATATTCCTGGAGTACATAGCAAAAAACTAATTATATTTTTATGATTTATTATTATGATTTCACATTTTATTTCCCTATAATATTTTCCATAGTTGCTTACTACAATATGTCACCTTTTGCACTAACAGTAGCGTTATAATTAGATAAATAATCAAAATAAACAAACGTAGAAAGAAATGGTTAGTGAAAAAAAACTTATAAGATTTAATTGATTAGACAGATAGAGAAAACATGTAGGAATGAATTATTTTAATTAATATGTTAATACCGTCTATAATTTTTACTTTTACTTCCTTTTCGATGAAAATACCTATTCCTGCTAAAAGTAAGGGAGTAAGTAAAAGTTGTGTGATGCACGCACTGCACCAATTTTTTTTTTTACCTCTAGTGTCTGAGTGGATGAATTCATTCTTATTACATTATAAGTGGAAGGGTAGGGAAAGGTCATTGAATGACCATTGAAGGTCCTTGAATGACTTCAATCACTGTAAAAATGCTAAATATATTTATTTATAGGAAACTGATTTTGGCAAGCAATAGCTACCCATAAAACAGATGGTATGGCTGAAGTGTAAGGTGTTAGACTCTCATGCTGGAGACCTGAGTTCAAATCCTTATTCATAGAATAATTTTCTTGGGCGGGGATGCTGAAACGGGCAAACGCGTGTGCACAGCACCGCCGTTCCCCGGCAACCTGATATATGAGACAATTGATATAAAATAGTCACGAGTTCGCGTCCCGTTGCCGGGGGAGTCCTTTAAATCCCTGTCCTCACCTCCTGGTCCGGGAAAACCTCGTATAACCAATTAAAGGCAAGGAAGAGAAGGACCCCCAAAACAAATAGCTATCCAAAATCTATAAATAGCACTGGACTCATGTGGACAATCTTTTTGTTATTATCCCTACCTCACTTGTTTATTTTTTGTGTAATGTTATTTCTTAGTATCAATATTCTCTTATTTTATCCTTTGTTGCTTTTCACTCAATCTAAACCACTAACGGAGTAATGTATGAAGTTATTTAACATTAAAATTGTGATTAATATCTTTATTAATTAATAATTATTTATTTTTGTAATGTTTTAAAACATAGTGATTAACACATTATAAATATTATGTTTAAGAAGTTTCAATTAATAAAACAATATCTATCTTGATTTATAATATTTCACAGTGAGATCTCTTTGCCAACATTTCAGTAGCGATGGATTTTGATGAATGATGTATCAAACGAAAGGGAATTAAATGGAGAAGTGACAAATGATATTTGCATTACACTGAAATTTCAGGAAAAAATGTTAAGAATGAAAAGAAACTTTACTTTTGAATAACTTAAAAAGTATACAGTTTTTGTTGATAGCACACATGATTATTTAAAAGATTACTAAATTCCTAAGAAAAAACAAATCATGGAAATAGGAACATTAATAACAAAGATACAGCCTATAGTAAGCTACTCATGTTAGTTATTATGAATGAACTTGTATCGTAAACTATATAAGTTCATATCGTCATAACTATATATTGTCTCAGGTCTTTCTTGTTTGAGTTTGAATTTCATGAAAATGAACATTATTTGTTTTTCTGTATATATCTATTTTTCCATCAATAAATTTTTTAATTGATTATTTAATAATCTTATTAATATCTAAATGTATATAAAATCTTCAAGATTATATCAAACATGACTTTTAATTATTGTTATGAAGCTTATGCAGCAATTAAGATAACTAAAGAATAGAACAAAAATAAATTAGGGGTATTCATACAACCAGTGCTAAGTATTGTAAACCTCTTAAATGTGTAAAGTCGAGAAAATTATTTACGAAATGTGTGTTAAATATGGCCCTATGGGAATTTCTGAATCTTCCTTCATGTTTTATAATAATAATCAAATAATCCAGCAATTCAGTCTTTCCACTTCGCTTTGGCATTTATAAATAAATCAAAACATTGGTAGATCAATTAAGATCTTTGTTTACAGTACAGGCAAGTAACCTTACTATAACTAATAACACTTTAACAGGTGACAAGTTATTTATCATTCATTCAAAATTTGTGCTGACTGCTTCTAGTCCGGGAACCCGTAGCAAAAAAGGTGTCATATTTCATACTAAGGTTTGTCCTTATAAATTGACGATATCCACTGGCCTGATGTAAAATGAAAATGAAAATGAGAAGATAATGAGTTGGCAAGTCAAATAATGATAAAAATGTGAGGCAAACTTTTTCTTTTTCAAAATTAGTGAATTACAAGGACAGATGTCACAGGAACTATAGAATATAGCGAAAAAAAACTTATATAACCATTACTATTGCAAATGTTGTCAGCTTTAATTTCATACAACATTATGGTTATGTTATAATAAAGTTAACTTATATTAGTTTCACTGATATAAGTGAAAAAACGAAAAAAGTAAACTTTTTGAATCGCAAACTCAATTGTTCGACTTAAAATCCACGTGTATGAGGTAACTGACAATCTTTTCATGTCTTAAGACTGTAAATACTACAAATTGAAAGGGTTGGCAGCTTTATATATCTATAAGCCTTCTCTTTCTCTCTCTCTCTCTCTCTCTCTCTCTCTATATATATATATATATATATATATATATATATATATATATATATATATATATATATATATATATACATACACACACACATGCTTACAGCCTATGTAGGGTCTCTATCTATCTTCACATGGCTGCCATTTTGTATTCCAGCGGCTATATGCTGGCAGACATGCATTTTTCTCATTAGGCCTGTGGATATGGTCAGTTTATAAAGGATAAAGCTTATTATAAAATATGACCTTTTATGCCATGGGCTCCCGACCTATTAGCACGATGGCACATTAAGCATTTACAAGTACCTGAATACCCCTATTGTCCTTAAGACTGTGGCGGTAAGTTACTAAACTATTGATAGTATCAACTATTGCCCATCCCAAGTATAGCTAGTGATGGACAATATTTTGATTACAATTTTGATGCAGTAAATGTTTTATTAAAAAATTCTGGTTTCATATTTACTCACCTAGTTAGTATGTGGAGTTAAAAGAATAATAGTCACTTACAATGTTTTTTTTTTTTAATAACTATTTTTCTCTTAATTAGGTAATTTTTATCTCCTTTTGCTTATGTTGTTAGATTCTGCTTTCCATCGATTCTTCGTCTGTCATTACTGCGGTAACATTTGGAATGATATATCCCAGCTGATGCTTCATCTCGAGTCTGCACACCCGTCAGAATTAGAAGTGGATGTGGAGTCTCATACAGTTTACAATTTAGGGGTATCGCAATCACATTCTTGTCTGTATTGCGACTATACTACAGAGGCATTCGAGCCACTTGTGGATCATATCAAATCGAGCCACAAGACTGTTAGCGAGAACTGTTGTCCTCATTGCAATTATAGAACCATGCTGCCAGCAAGCTTGAAGGACCATCTTATTGAAAAGCACAGGGACTCCTGTCTCTATTGTATTCTCAATATGCATGCATAGAAGCTTTTTATACGCCCATTTTGTTTTTTCTTTATCGGACATTAGTCATTTTATTGAAAAACTGTATATTAAGATTTATGTTTTATTAAATGTTTTTAAAAATGCATTGATATGTATCGGATAGTTAATATTAGTTTTATTTGATTGTATGCACTATGTAATGATTTAGTTTAGGCTGGAATTTTCCTCAAATTTCTGACCAATTATAAAAAAAAAAAAAATAACTAATGAGCTCATATTACTTTATCTTCAGAGGAGCATATTCCTTGATGCCAATTATAATATTATGCTGATTATATGGGGTGCCATTCACTAAGGTTAATTATTAATTATTATGAAGGTAAATTATTAAAATAATTTAAAAATTACACAATGAAATTATAAGAAAAGAAAAGCTTAACATAACACTATATTTTTAATAAATAATCCATTTTTTACTGTTATTTTGGTTCTTCCTTTTCGGATAGGTTTTCAATCAGAATTAATAAATAAAAAAGTCAGTTACAACATTGAAAAAAAAAATTAATAAACTGATATTATTTTGATTTTAGAAGACCCTATTACCTGATACGTATTACAATAATTCTTGATTTAGTTACAATATATTATAATTTTTTATAATATATTATAAATAATAATTTTTTTATTTAGTCACAGTACATGTTATTTTTGATTAATGATAACTCTGGCTTAAAATTTGAAAGAAATCTTCTAAATGGATTTAATATCAGTTTCCGATGTTGTATTCACTTTTTGAAGAAAAAAAAATTATACCGGAATACAAAATAATTTCAAGATTACCTTTGAAGCCCATATAGAAGAAATGTTTTTCCATTGTTGTCTTTCAAGCCACTTAAAAGATTCACACAAAAGCAATCATAATTCAACATTAACTGATTTTGTTCGATGTTAGTCTTAGAAAATCTAGTCGTTAAAATTATTGACCATAAAGATTATGTTTGGAGTTTTTCTTCTTAGTTTTACTAGATGTAAGTTGAGTTTTATATATTGACCAATCTTGGTGGTATGAATCAGTCATTTTCATTTTGAAAAAAAAAATAGTTTTAAAGAATTATGGCGATAAATTTTTAAGTTTTATATTTAATCACAAATTGATCTGAGGATTAGTTAAAAGTAATTATGAAGTCCGATTGTCTAAAGTTTATTTTTGATTTATTTTAAACATTTTGAAAATGATTAACACCATTATGCAAGTCAATACATAAAATTTTTGTTGAAGCTGATAAAAAATTTAAAGTATTACAAAATGGCGAATTATTGAGTTTGTGATATAGTTCACTTATTTTCTGTCAACAGTTAGGCCTCCTAGATTGTATTTTTACAATCAAGTTAAAATTATTGAAATTTTAACTTACGCGCAACTTCCATTTTCATAAGCTCAATTTACAAACAAAGACAGATCATTTTTAGTGTTCAAACTAAGCTAGAGTAAGTTTTATCAATAAATATGGGTTGACTGTGGTACACTTTGTCTTATTATTATAATTTTACTTTGTAATTTGACAATTTAGCATGTATTATGTTTTTCATTATAGCACCAAAACGTATTACACTCATTGCAAATTATTTTGTATTTGATTATTTTACAAATTAATTAACAGATATTAAGTCATACTTTAATTTTGTGAATAAATTATGCTACATTTTATAAGTTATATCGGAACAATCATCTCAGTTAAAAATATTATATCAAACAATTTAAAAAAAAAAATTACATATCATAACTGATGACTTGGTATGGATTTTGTACATTTATATTGATAGTTTATTTTGTAATGTGAATATTAATGTGTGTCATGGCTGTGAAAAAAAAAAAATTAAACACATACACCAAGCATATATTTACTTTTCTTTATTCTCCTCTGAACTCTATAATCTTAGAATTAGTTAACAATTACTAAATAGAAAAAGAGCCTGTTTATTACAAATTATTACATCACTGTGTAATAATTTCCAGCATTTTAAAAATATTTCATTTTTATAAAAATATAAACTTTAACAATAGGATAATAATACAACTAAAAAATATACAAGGAACACGCTTAAACTTTGGAATTATATAACATTGTTTCTGTGGTTAATTCGTTAAAATACCCCTTTTTCAAGACTTCATTTATTAGATCTTTTGCTATTACTCTCTGGGTATCTTTAAGTCTTTGTAGTTTCGATGTCCAAATGATCCTCAAGGCTTCGAATTCATTTCTAATAGTCTTTCTCTCTCTTTTATACAAATCTTTTGAATTGCTGGAAACTTTTATGTCTTCATTTTTCTGCTGAAGCCTCATGGATCTCGTCGTACAGCTGGCTGGTTTCACTTCAATGATTTCAGTACCTAAAAGTATAAATTAATTTAATTTTAATGTATTCATAATGATGTAGAGATGGTTGACCGTTGATATAATATGAGGAGTTGACCGCACCCCCCAATCAACTCATATTTTTATGTAGTTTTAATAAAAATAAGTAATTAATATTATTTTATATTTTGTAATCTCAAATTAAGGCTTTACAAGGCTATGATAAAACGAGTTCTGATTTACGGCTTTGAGACCTGGACACACACCTGTACCCTAGAAAAATGAAAGATTTCAGTGGAAAATTAACAAGATAACCTGAGCGATCTGAGATCAGAATACTAATCAACAAAGGACAGATAAAGAACTGCTTATAGAAAATGGTCAATCAATTCTCATGATATGAAGGTGAGGAAGATTAAGATAGGTGGGACATGTAGCTTAGAGCAATCCATCAGGAAACCTTTAAACAATTATGAATGTTTTAATAGTCAGGCAAGAGACCAGAGGAAAGGCAAAAATCCAGACCAACGGATCAAATCAACCAAGATGTAGAGCTGCATGCAAATAAGTAGAAAGAAATAGTAATTATTAGTAATAGTAATTAAGTAAGGAATCTGCATCTTGTCTCAATTATGTAGTAGATAGTCCCCTGTATTTACTCCTTTATGTGACACTGTGTGAGGGAATGTGAAGTGGCACGATGAATTGTACTTAATGGTGCAGTGGACAAATTATTCATTGAAAAGTCGCATATCGATAAATAATCGATGAAGAAGGAAGAAGGTTGGAGGTACCGAAAGGACCGAGCAGGTGACAACAGCTGAAGAGAAGAGAAGGCATTCTAGGCCGGAACAGGTAGAAAGGAGGTTGTCAGAAGAGAGAAGGCTTGAGAATGGGACACGGAGGCGAGATGACGTTACCTGAGATGAGAGAGGCAGGACATTGAAGACCAAGAATATCAAGCCTACAGTTATAAGACTTTAATAGATTCACTTATTACAGTTGTTATGCAGGAGTGATAAGTCATTTATTTATTTAGTTGTTCCATAGGCCTCATAATTGAAGAATAATAAACCAGGTGAGTCAATTCATTCAAAGTGTATTTACTAAGTCACACATTTCATATATATATATATATATATATATATATATATATATATATATATCCAGGTGAGTCAATTCATTCAAAGTGTATTTACTAAGTTCCACATTTCATATATATATATATATGAAATGTGGGACTTAGTAAATATCCTTTGAATGAATTGACTCACCTGGTTTATTATTCTTCAATTATGAGGCCTATGGGACAACTAAATAAATAAATGACTTTTCACTCCTGTCTAACAATACAACTGTAATAAGTGAATCTATTAAAGTCTTATAACTGTAAGCTTGATATTCTTGGTCTTCAATGTCCTGCCTCTCTCATCTCAGGTAACGTCATCTCGCCTCCGTATCCCATTCTCAAGCCTTCTCTCTTCTGACAACCTCCTTTCTACCTGTTCTGGCCTAGAATGCCTTCTCTTCTCTTCAGCTGTTGTCACCTGCTCGGTCCTTTTGGTACCTCCAACCTTCTTCCTTCTTCCTCGATTATTTATCAATATGCGACTTTTCAATGAATAATTTGTCCTCTGCACCATTAAGTACAATTCATCGTGCCACCTCACATTCCCTCACACAGTGTCACATATAGGAGTAAATACAGGGGACTATCTACTACATAGTTGAGACTTTTTGTATATATATATATATTTGTATATATATACTTTTTGTATATATATATATATATATATATATATATAATAATAATAATAATAATAAGGCTTAGCGAACCCGAAGGTTCGATGCCGACACCACCAATCGCTTGTTACACACCTCCTTCCACCGTTCGCCGTCCAAACCCAGTCCCTTCAGATCGGCTTTAATGCAATCCTCCCATCTTCGCTTCGGTCTACCCCTCGGACGCTTACCATTCGGCACAGCAAATATTAACCTTTTAGGAATTCTCTCGTTACTAAGCCCAACAACTTTACAAGCCCATTTGATTCGCCGCGATGAAATTACCTCAATTATATTACCCGGATACATCTCACGCAATTCGGCGTTGTGTAACCGTCTGAACTCTCCGGTTAACTCATCCTTTTTCGGTCCGAATATTCTACGCAATACTTTATTTTCAAAAACCTTAAGACGCTGCTCATCCCTTAATGTAAGCGGCCAAGTTTCGCATCCATAAAGAACTGTAGGTAAGATAATTGTTTTATAGATTCTAATTTTTAAGTTTCGGGACAAGAGGCGCGAACTAAGTAGTTTTGTCACAGAAAAATAACAAGCATTCCCCGCCTTCAGTCTAACCTTAATCTCTTCTTCAATTTCGTTTTTTCTAGTTATCGTAGAACCTAGATACCTAAATTTATCTACCTGTTCAAACATATTACCATCTATATCGATATCACCAGTAGTATCGCCATTTTTGCAGCTAACCATATATTTTGTTTTATCCACGTTTATTTCGAGTCCTAGTTCTTTCCCGGCTTTCATTAACGTTGTCGTATTTAGTTTTATAGTTTCAACGTCTTCGCTTAACAGTACCAGATCATCAGCATAGCCCAGCACGGATGTTGTCCCGCCCAGATCCAACCCTTTCTCGGTTCGCATTACCTCCCTAATGGCATGTTCTAATGCCAAATTGAACAGGACAGGCGAAAGAGAATCCCCCTGTTTTAAGCCCGAACGAACCTCAAATTTTTCGGACAAATTATTACCGATTCTAACTTTATTGAGTGTCTCCGTCAAGCACAGCCTGACTAGATTTACTAGTTTTTTTGGAATCCCCTGCTCGATTAGAATATTATACAATTTCTGGCGGTCAATAGAATCGTAAGCCTTTTTAAAATCTATATACAGCTGGTGAACAATACCGTTATACTCCAATTTTTTCTCTAATATTTGCCGTAAAGAAAATATTTGATCAATAGTCGAACGATTCCGTCTAAATCCGCATTGGTAGTCTCCGATAATTTCCTCGGCGTATTCCGTGATTCGACTGGTTAAGATTAAAGTGAATATTTTATAACATACCGGAAGGAGTGAAATTCCTCGATAGTTATTACAATCCGTCCTCGGACCCTTTTTGTGAATCGGAATAAGAATAGATTCTTTCCATTCTTCAGGTAATTTCTCGTTCACCCAGATCTTTTTAACCAACCGATGTATTTTAGAAACTCCAGCTTCTCCGCATGCCTTAATTAGTTCAGTAGGAATATTATCGATTCCCGCTGCTTTATTTGATTTTAATTTTCCGATAGCTACTTCAACTTCCTCTTTAGTTGGTCCTTCTATTAACGGTTCAGCACTCTGGTACTCAGAAGGAGGACACAGATCATAATTTCCCGTATTTAAAATATTGTCAAAGTGGTTCTTAAACTTATTCAATATGTCAACCGGATCGGTCAGAATATTGTTATTATCATCCCTAATTCCAGACGTTACGGGCCCTACATATTTACGTGATCTGTTTATACCTTTGTACATGTCTCTTACGTTATTTTCGATTCTATTAGTTTCTATTTCAATTATTTTATTTTTAAGATACTCCCTTTTTTTATTTTTGAGCAATTTTGTCGTTTCGTTCTTTGAGATTCGGAAGTATTCCAGATTGTCTTCGCTAGGATTATTTAGAGCTTTTAATTTAGCGGCTTTTCTTTTTTCACACATGTTTAAGCAATCTTCATCAAACCACGGTTTGTTATTCTTATTTTCCTTTTTTCCTAGACACGAGTTACCGACCGCTTTAATATTATCTCTGATCTCTATCCATAACTTGTCAATATCCTCGTGGTCCTCGTCAGGAAGCTCTAAAGCTTCAAACCTATTCTTAACATCTAGCTCGAATTGGTTTCTAATTGATGGATTTTTTAATTTTTCCAAATTAAAATTCTCAAAATCGAAACGGTTTTCTTTTCTCTTTTTTATATTAAGTTTTTGTCGAAGTTTCGCGATTACTAATTCATGATCCGACCCACATTCTGCTCCGCGATAAGACCGTACATTAATTATACTACTTTGCCAGCTGTGTTGTATCAAGACATGATCGATTTGATTTCGTGTTTGCGAATCCGGTGATGTCCAAGTATATTTATGAATATCCTTATGTTTAAACGTCGTACTTTTAATTATCAGGTTTTTCGAGATGGCAAAGTTTATCAGACGGATCCCATTATCATTACTATATTCGTGCAAACTTTCTTTACCAATCGTCGGAATATAAACTTCTTCCCTTCCTACCTTTGCGTTCGCGTCACCTACAATTATTTTCATGTAGTTTCGTGGTAGTTTATCATAAACCCATTCGAGTTTATCGTAAAATTCACTTTTGACTTCATCGTCACTGTCTTCGGTCGGACAATGTATGTTTATTAATGCGATTTTAAACCAACGTCCCTGAAATGTAGCTACCGAAATTCTATCACTAAAGAATTGTACGTCCCTCAAAGCGGATAGTAATCTACGCCTAATTAGAAACCCGGTACCTAAACAATGATTCTCGCTTCCTCCGTACCAAATAGTGTACTTCCCTTCCCTCATCGAGCCCTCCCCTGGCCAGCGAACCTCTTGCAGAGCCACGACATCCAAATTGTACCCATTTACCTCATTCGCGACCGATTTTAGCCCCCCTGCTGTGTTTAAACTCCTTACGTTCCACGTACCAATATTTAAATCCCTATATTTCAACTTGCGCCATGAATCCCCTAAAGCAGTCCCCACCCGGAGACCCGAACGGGGGACTAGTTTACTTCCGGATAATGAGCGTTTTACCTTAGGGAGATCCATGACTTTTTGTGGTGTTTGGTGAACTAAAGATATGTGAGTAGGGCGTTCAATCCTACGTCACACCCTCCAGCAAGTCTGGTGGGCCCCTACCTCCAGCAAGTCTGGAGGTCCCCTCCCTCCAGCAAGTCTGGAGGGCCCCTCTCATTGTTGGTCAGCGAGTCCATCGGACTTAGCCGGGAGGAACTTTCAAAAAATTTCCACCGACCATCCCCACATCCGCCACCCGTGGGACGCTCCCCATACGCGGTAATGAGCCCGCGCGAGGATATATATATATATATATATATACTTTTTATAGATATATTCTTATTGTTTCTTCTCACTCAGTGTCACAAAAAGTATTAAATTCCCGAATTCTCAACAACAGTTAAACACCCTCAAAAAGTCTATATCCACTGCCAGGGTTTTGTTTTAATATCCACGACTATAAATAACCTAGTTTCCCGATAAAAGCGGAAGGATATTTGCAATTCCTGCCATAAACAGTTATTTAAAATTAAACTTTTAATATGTTATGTACAACACCTCTCTATTCAACCAACATAGTAGTACCAGATGTCACAAATAATCAATAGCTCTTCAACTTCTGGCATCCTCATTTGATAACTTCTCTTCATATCTCACTCCGACTCCAATGGTCAATCGTCATGGTCACACATTGACCTTATCAGTTTTAAACCACTTCTCCAGTAGTTTCTGCTCCTATTCTGTTTAATTTATCCTTTTCATTTTTCAAAAACTACTTTCCTCTATCACAAATACCACATTAATAACATTTGTTCCTGCCAAATAAACTTAATTTAAAACAATGAATTTTTCTTCTGAAATGTCACTCCCTTTTTTCCTAAATCCATCCATCCATTAATAATATTAGTTGTCTCGCTTCCTGCAGCATTATTGGACAAGAGCCCTGATGAGAACCTACAACATAGGTCGTAACATAGTCAACCAATAAATATTATGTGTATGACTGCTGATCACATCTCTCACTAACTTCTTAAATTAAAACTACAGTCAATAATTTCCATATCATAATAAAAAAAAATTATATTCAGAAAGAATATAATTAACACAGTTAACAAATATTATGTTAAATGTAGAATATTTCCAAACAAAATCAAACGTTTTGATAGATGATAAAATTAATAAAAAGCGACCAATTACCTTCAGGAAGTGAAAGTATGGGAACAATAGGCTCTTGCATTAAATGAGGTGTCGGTTTTTCCTTCAGCCATACACAACAACGTTTATCTAAGAAAAAAAAAATACGAAGAAACGTAAATTATTTTTAAATAAAAAATAGTAACCAATATTCATTTATAATAAATTAGAGATATATTGAATAATTTGAAACAATGTCAATGGGTAGTTGCTCAATCAAGGATTAGTTTAAAAATCAGAATGTTATGGTATTGAACAAAAGAAACATATTTCATAAATGAAACGATAAACTGTTGTCACAGTTATTAAAAGACAAATTTAACATAGATACTAGGATTGATTGACATATAACAATAAACATATGATTGCATTACCATAATCATCAATGATAAAATGATCCTCTCCATCCTTTGCATCACCGTTGTCATATTCAGCATCTGTAAACAATGAGGAATATTGAAGGAACAGTAAAACAATATGGAAATAAGTAGATCATATGTATTATGTAAGGAAGGAATAAAGCTGTATAAAACGCTTATTAGACCAGTAGTCACCAATGGAGCAGAAACCTGGTGTTTATCGCAAGAGGATTGGCGTTAAACTAAAAGTATTCGAACGGAAAATAATAAAGATTTACGGTTCTACAAGAGTTAATAATGAGTGGAAAATAAAAAGTAACAATGAAATCGAGGCTATATTAGAGAATCAATACATTACTAACTATATCAAGGCAAGTAGGCTGAGATGGGCAGGACATGTAGTCAGAATGGAGAACGAACGGGTTCAGAGAAAAATATTGGAAGCACACTTCAGTGGGAAGAGAAAAAGAGGAAGACCGAGAAGCAGATGGAAGGATGAAGTGGAAAGAGATGCGAGGAAGCAAGGAGTTCGATTTTGGAAGAGAGTAGCACAGGACAGAGAAGTGGAGAAAAATAACTTAGGAGGCCAAGGGTCATGCTGGCCTGTAGCGCCGGGGAGTTAGTTAGTTAATAATAAGAACTAACTTCGAGCAATTTCGTGCTATAACCTGGAATGCCTCTTTTATCTGGCTTCTTTCTTTTTTAACTGAATCATGCAGAACAATGTTAAATTAAGTCGCAATCAAGGCATACTTTTGTTGTACACCAGATTTCACTTTAAACATATTTCCCACCTAATTGCCAATCATAACATACAAAGAAGCTTCGTCCATTACCATACACAAGTTAATTAATTTATGAGAAATTCAATTTAGTAAAATTTTTAACAGACCTCAATTAAGAGGTTTTGATAGTTATTAACTATCAACTACTTACTTATAGTTGATAAAATTATGCAGATCAATAAAATATTCCTATGTTTTTTTTATTGCTTAACAGATAACAAAGATTGGTCTTTGATACTTCTACTAAACTTTAAGCCATAATTTGGACATGCTTGATTTTATTTATTATGTAAAATGACTTCATTTTCATGTCGATTGTAGAGAAAAATGATTTCTTTAGTAAAACATTATAAAAAATAAGAACAAAAGTACTTACCAGAACTAGACTTTGAGGAATGAGATTCCTGTTTAATTTTAATTTCTCCTCTTTCGTCATGATCATACTCTAAAATAAAATTGAATAATGTTTCTGAATCAGTTTACAATACAGTGCAGCAGAAGAATTCTATAAATGATAATAAAAAAATAAGAGAAAAATGGATGAAATACAATTACATATTTAAGTCAGAAACAATGTGACATTGTCACAACATATCTGTGGTGCACTCCTTATCAATGTTTAACATATGTCATGGATACATTTTGAAAGTGGCATTGTGGATTGTGGTATTTAGAAATAAGAAATGATGAGGGCAAAATGACTGAAAATGTTTTTCAATTAAAATGAAAGAGCACACTAAAGATGATGGAATATTCAGAATCATTGATGAATTTATGCAAAAGATAAAAGTAACTGATGATAATTGAACTAAAATCTTGTAAGAGAATCAGAGATAAATACTTTATTTAAAGCAGTGATTACTCTATAACATAGGGTTGCTCAATCCTTTTTGGACATAGCACTTAATTATACATTATTTTATTTAACAGAATAAAATATAATAGAAATCAATTTACAACAGAAGAAACAGAATACCTTCACAGTCAATGTCTAATTCGTCCTTGATTACAACTTTAGATGAACTATCTAGTGTTGAACCTGTAAATCAAATATTTTTCCAAAGTAAATTTTTTAAAGTTTTATTTCTACAACATGGTAGATATGTGATATAAAATATTCATATTAGTTTCATTAAATGAAATGATGAGTTAGAATCAATGATTGTTTATCTGAAAAATTTGAGATCCATACGGATTTAAACAATGTGATTTCTTTTCATGTCTTATTTAATTCGACATTAGAACATGCTGTCAGAGAGGTGATACATGTAAAAACGATTTGAATCTGTGTGGAACAATATGGTACTGTTAAATGAAGAAACTGAAACTATAAAACTAAATACAACAATGTTGATGCCAAAACCAAAGAACTCCGTCTCAAAATAAAAACAGACAAGATAACATACATGTTTAGCTGGAAAATGGTGATAATTTTAGTATTATAGACGTAAAATGGAATAAGTTTGAACACATAGAGATAGTAGGTTAAAGGCAGGAAATACTTTCTATTTTTCTGAAAAACTACTTTGCTCATGCCTGTTGTCCTGAAACTTAAAAATTATAATTTAAAAAACCATTATTCTTTTGATGGTTCTTTATGTATGCCAAACGTGGCCGCTAACATTAAGGGATGAGGTTAACATCATAAGGTTTTTTAAAATAAAGTATTGCGTAGAATATTCAGATTGAAGAATGATGAGTCAACCGGATAATTTAGACATTTACACAATACCAAATCACACGTAACTGCTCCTCGCCTTTTAGGCTATACTGGGGTTTTCTTGATCCAGGGGGTAAGGGCGAGGGATTAATGGCATAGTTAAAATCTTCTCAGCACCAGGATAAGAACAGCATGAACTGTACCTGGTTAATATAATTTATTAAAGTTAATACCATTGGGACTAATGATATGGGCATGTAAAATGTTTGGGTTTAGTAACGAAAGAATCCCTAAAAAGTTAATGTGTTGTGCCAACTGGCAAAAATCTGAGGGATAGATTGATGCAAAGATATGAGGATTGCTTTAAGGCTGATCGTGTGAGGTTGGAGCTTAGTGGAAATTAGAATGTAGACAGCAATTAGTGGTATCGGCATTGAACCTTTTGGTGCGTTACACTTGCCACAATGATGTAGGAAGAGATCAGAAATAAACCTGTTATTCTGTAATAGATATAAGCCAACTGAATATTGGACCCATCACCAATTTTCAGCAGCAAGAGATACAGCATAAAACAGTAATTCCATTAGTACTGCATTTGGCAACAATTGGCATTAAGTTTTGTTCTAAGAGAATAACTAAGTACGTTTTATGCGGCAAAAAATAAACATTGTTAAAGAAATAGTTAAAGTTCTATTTCTATACTTAAAAAATAAAGATGTTAAATTAAAATCATTTATTTCCAAATTCATTATTATGTTGATACACAAGAATTTTGTTAAATGTTTCCATTAAATTACTTAATGTTTCAAATTTGAATCTACTTACAACACTGGTCCATTTAATCTTTAAACAAATATTTATTACTGTTAACCGCTATCCCTTTTGAATTATGAAACCTCGCATGCAACAGGTAGCGTAAATAAACCAAAGAGGTTCGATAAATTAGAAAAAAAACAACTAAGATGTGTGTTTTAGACGTAGGAGTGAAAACATCAACAAGGCGAGATTAATAATATGAAATATAAATTATAAATGATAGCTCATTATAAATGCTGAACATTGCAATGAATTTTTTTGATGATTTTTAGTTTCTGAAATATTTTAAGCCATATTTATGTTCATGAGAGTCTGAAGGCAAAAATCCTGCATAACTCTCCCTCTCCCGACTTTCCTCACTTAAAATATTTATTAGTTGAAATTTCCTCAAATTCCTTTTCCCTCCTTTACTTCATTACATATCGCCCTCCCTATGTCCGATTTGATCCTGCCTTTGAATCCTCCCTTTATACGTATGTTCCTTTATACAATAATATAATAATTATCGACGACTTTAATACCAATTTATCCTCCGACTTCTCTGACAAATCATACCTTATTATAGACCTAATCCATTCTCTTGACCTATTTATCGTCCTTTTTCAACCTACTGATCATACCCAGTTCTCGAGCACATGGTTCGGCCCTTTTCTAATCTATTCCTCTCTAAACTTATTTTCCTCCACTCAAAACTCTGTTTCCTTCCTTTCACATCAAGATTTCCTATAATGTCCCACTCCTAAGTTCATTTCCAAACAAATTAGACGGCGGAATCTTGGCTCATTGACCTCTGAAGCACTAAATCCTTTCCTCGAATCACTTGCCCATTCCTTAGATCCGATATATTCGAACTCCTCCATTGTTGTGGAGTGTCTTTCCTCAAATCTTCTCCTATTCCTAAATAAACACGCACCCTTAGAGACCTCGACCTTCAGACGTCCTGCTGCTCTCTGGATTAATCCAGAAATAAGATAGTTGATAAAGAGAAAAGACGCTACAAGGAGGCGTTCCAGACGGACACGTAATCCGGATGACTACATCTCTTTTAAGACTGTTCGAAACCTTACCCAATCTTTCTTTCGACGTCCTAAGGCAAAATTCTTTTCTACTTCCTTATCACAAGCCTCAGATCCCAAGTCCAGATGGAAAATCCTTAAACACCTCTCTGCGGTAAAATCGATTTCTTCAGATCAACTGAATTCCCACTTTGCCGATTCTGACTCATTACCATCTTCCTCCTCATACTATATTCCAAAAACTTCGTTTGACCCTGAAAATTTCTATTTTACCAGAAGACCTAATTTCCTCTGTCCTAAAATCCAGAACAGACTATGACCCGAATCTAATTCCAGTGAAGTTAATCAAATTATGTCATCCTGTCATCTTTCCCGTCCTGCTGCACATCTATTTTTCCTTGCAAAATTCCAGTTTCCCGTCAGCTTAGAAAAAAAATTATTTTCCGCTCACTGAACAAAGTTGAATACCGCCAACAAACTACGGCAGTATTTCCTAGTTTTATTCCTTTTCCGAAACTTGACAACTAAAACACCTTATCTTCTTGATTTCTTTAATCCTTGTTCCTCTTTTGATTCGTTCAACACGAGATCCCATTCCCCAAATCTATTTATTCCTTCTCATAAAACTGTTTCCTTTAAAAAATCCTTCGTCATACGTGCTACCTCGTTTTGGAATTCCCTACCAACCTCTATACGGAAATCCTCATCCTTGACCTCATTTAAACACCATTTGTTTTTCCATCTCTTCAGAAATCAATCTTTATTTTTTACTTTAGAGATGTCAGCCACATTCTACTGATATCTATATATGTGGCATATTGCTTATTTGTATAAAAATGTGAACTCATTCGTATGTATTTCTTTAACTTCAAGATCATATATCTACTACAGTGTCTTTTCTTTATTTTAATATTAGTATTAGACAACTTTGTCAATTAATTTATTTTTAATTGTATTCTAATGCCAGCCAATTGTCATTTCGTTGTTCATTATAGCAATTCTGATGGATGTAAATGTTCCAGAATAAAATTCACTTTCTTTCTTTCTTTTTATCTTCCATAAAACTCGTTATCGATTGGTTTTTGACACTATTTTTTCTTTTTCTCCTCTCGAACACGGCGTCGCGTTAAGATACAATTTTGAATAATATCCCATTATAGAGAGGATGAAATGTTCAACAATTCCCTCGCTTTCAGTATGCAGGTCCGATTTTTAGTTTCTCTGATATTTTAATCCATATGAAAAAACACTTCAATTATTCGACTCCACCCGACTTTACCGAGCGTTACACATCGGAAATCTGATGGCTCAATCTCCTTCACTCTCCACCACAGAAGTGCAAGTTCATTTTTTCTTTAAATTTTTTTTAAATGGTCGTTCAGCGCATCCCAGGACAACATTTTCAGAACTTCGCTTCTCTTTAGCTAATTGAATTTTTTAACATACGGAACAAATACTCATATATCAGAAAACATTGTGTATATTTTTATTAGTCTGTAAAATCATTGTTTATAGTGTACGTGATCAAAAGAATTATTTACTATGCGTTCGGCATTTAGTAATACCGAAGCTTGGTTTGAGGCAATGATGGAGGAATTTACTCTGATTTGTAAGGAAATCGTTGGATTAATTTTTAAAAAAAGTTGGTGATTTTAAAATTTGGTGCAAAATACTTGGGTCGTTTATCCATTTCTCATCACATTTATTTTTTTTTTAATTTAAATGTATTAAAATAATTTTTAACTGAATGAAAAATGGTTGGGTGTTTTTAAAAATAATGTTTTTTTATTAACGAAGAAAAAAGAGTGGTCTAGAATTTAAATACTTTACAGGTGATGATACTATTTGGATCTCCTCAATTAATAATAATTGATAATAATTAATTTATTCATATAACAATTAGTCTGCTTACATTCTTATCCTAAGATTCCTAAATTCTACCCGAAGTACACTTAATTTTTGTTATGGATTAATATTTAATTGAAGACTAGGTTATATATTTTATATTTTCTGCATATATGGTGTGAATGTGTTCATTTATCACTATAATTATTGTCCACGAGACAGAATATTATATATAAACAAAAAAATAAATAATTGTGTTATGTGTTTTGCATTAATTAAAAATTAGTCATTTCAGGAATTAATAATTACATGAAACAAGGAAATTGCCATGAAATGGTTTTTAATATATTATGTAAGATATCTATGAAGATATTAGATATATCTTCATATTACTTGTTTTATCAGAGAAATACTTTCAATCACTGATAAGGTTGTTTGACAATTTTTTATTTGATTTGATTTTCTTTCTGTTATGCTGAAATTCCTTACCACAATATAGTGGTATCTGCAACGTAAATAAAATATATTTGAAAGTCATTCATCATTATATGCTCTAGTCAACGGAATTTTCTTAACACTATCTGGTCAGAAAATTATTGTATTCATTCGGTTCAAAGATTTTGTGTTGTTTTCACCTCCTGAGTCCATATATACATTATCAACTACCGATCTAAGTGTGCCATATCTTGAATGATTGAATCAACTTTGTTTTTCAGTAACAAAAAATCTACCCTCATCGCCATATACATGGCGTACGGAAAGAGAGTTTGTTCTAGAGGTCCAAACCTATTCTAACCAGATAGGAAAGGTCAAGGTTCATTCAATGGGTCCGCCACAAAATAACTTCCTCTACTCTCAAGATATTATATTACTCACCTTTTCTTAAGAACAAAGCAACTTGTTGCGGTCTGTTCCATATTTTCCACTTGTCCCTTAGTCCAAAAATTTATAACTGCATCGAAATTTGCCCCCTTCAAAAATAAAAAAAACGTCAAAATATGGCCCCAAAATTTTGATGGCGCAGTTTGCGCCATGTAACCCCTTTCTGGCAACTCCTGCTCTCCCCTCCTCTCAAACGATAGAATATTATCATTTCTTTGAAAAAAATTATTAAGAAATAATCTTTAAAAGTTAATGAAATTACATTTAATAAGACTTCAAGAATCACTTAAACACCATTTCATAAAATTAGGTAGGATCTTTTTACAAAGTAATAATCGTATATAAATATATATATATATATATATATATATATATATATATATATATATATATATATATAAGATTCGGAATGAAGCCCCCAAAATTAAATCTTGGATTCACTAGTGTGTAAAACTATAATCTCTTCATATTAAAGAAAGATGTAATTCGCCAGCTAACTTATTTTCCACTGTATCTCAAAATTTAATTTAATTGGTAGTTTCAAATATGCTTGGGAGGTTCAATAGGACTGTGTTTAGAAAAATTCTAAATCTAAGTGGCTAGAAAAATTATTTAAAAATAAATATTTTTCTTCAAGTAACTCGATAACTATATGCCATATAGGAAACTACCGATACTTATTAAAAAGCTAATAAAATTCTCTAAAAACGTAAAGAAAGATCACCTAAATTTTAACAGCATTAGCAAATTAATCGATATTTAATTTATAGAAAAATTGAATTCAAATAAACCCGATAAACTGAAGTTTCCATATCTCTAATGTTAGTACAAAAGGTCGTATGTAGAAATCGAGTTTTTTTTTGTTTTTTTTTTACAAAAGAGCCTAAAAACCGATAATTTCTTTATGGTGAGTAAAGTTTCATACTTTATTTCCCTCTGCTATTTACTATTTAGCAGACTACTTATAGAAGTTGCAGACTACAAAATGTAAGGATAAAGAGAATAAACACATAAAATTGTTACATACGACTTTTCGCACTAACAGTAGCGGTATGCATTATTTTAAATGCCTTATCATAAAGTCAAGACTCTTATGAGGCTAAATTTAATTGTAATGGCGGAAAATAAATATTTACGTGTGAAACTGTGAGCAAAACCAAGTTAATTATAAGCAGAGTACAAAATATATGTCTTTTATGATCTATTATAGCAAACTAATGTATACTTGTATAAATGGAGCAAAGATTAAATTAAACGAATTAACTTTCTTACACTTGAAAACTTTAAACAATGATTCCACCTCTCCTTTCTCACAGTTCTTACATAAATGGAATTTTATTAGGACTTATATAAATAATAGAAACGCTCAATAAACATAATTAATAAATAAAATTAATTAAACTATAGTTAGATTATAATAAAGTAAGAGATGGTAAAAGATCCGAGCAGTTCGCCTTGAAGAGCTCTTGAAAGATAAACTTAAGAGAGGCGGCATTGTGAGACCATTCATTCATTGTTGCGAAGTGTACTGTTCAAGATGGCCACGTTCAGGTTGATAGCTGCTTGCGATGAGAACATGGGAATCGGCAATAAGGGGGACCTACCATGGAAGTTGGAGTAAGCATTATTATCATAATTATATATATTTATAATACTAAATATAAGGAGCGGCTTAACGTAGTGGGTATGGCACTGAATTCATATGCTTAAGTTCCCGGGTTCTAGCTTGGTTGTGGATCAAGAGACCCTTCTTCTGGGCGCATCCCTTTCTTTATAAAGTGGGTACTCTGAATTATATAATTATCTAATTATTTCTCTACTCTAATTTATCTCAGAATAAAACAATCTTGTTAATTTATAAATAAATTAATTTGTTGAGAGTCTATTGACATTTGGACCAACAAAAAAAGAGGGTATGGTGACTTTTGTTCCTAACTGATATATACGTGCGTTGCAAAAAATCCCACATAAATAATAACTATCAATACAAACCAAAACCACATCATCTCATCTCCCATCATTTAACATTCCCCCCACCCCCCACCCAACTTAAAACCAAACACACCAAAAACTAATAACACTCCTCTTCTTATCTTACTACCCCACCAAAACCAAAAAAACACTATAATAACAAAAACATTTCTCCTAAAATCAATCAATTTTTTACAATAACACATTTATAAACCCTATACTCAAACCAAACTACTTTATCCTACCTTCCCCCAATTTCCCACCCCCCCTAAAATATAAAAAACGAAACCATAAAACAATCCCCTTCCATAACCCACAAACACACCAAAAAAACCAACAAACCAAACCAATCCCCTAAACCCAATCCAACAAAACCAAACCCCACACTCAACTCTTATCCCAATTACACCCCTAAACCTAAAAAACCATCCCACACTCAAATTTCATCCTCCCCCACACCCCCCCCCACATTACACCACAACCCCATCAAAACCTCACACCCCAATACACCCCCCAATCCACAAACCCTACAACAACAAACTATACCAACACAAACCCCTTCCAACCATCACCCACCCACACCACCCCAATACACAATCTTACTAAATCAACAAACCCAAAAAAATAAAAACACCTATACCACACAAACAAACCCACCACATCTCACCCACCACAAACTTTCATCCCCACCCCCCCCCCCCCCCCACCCCCCCACAACCCACTACATTCCTCCTCCACTATCCATCAACCACACCCCTCCCACTCCTTAAACATACAAACCACTACCCAAAATTCAATTACCCCCAAAACTGTTCACTAAACCAAACCCAACACCTCAAACACTCACCACACCCACAAATCCACCACACCACTAAAACATAACCACACCACAACACTATATGGTGTTATCTTTGTTATAACACATCTCAGGTCAAGAAGAAAACAAATAATTAAAGCTTTGCAATAATTTATTGCTGTAAGTTTTTCTGAAAACACTGATACTTTTAGCTGAAACACCTAATTTTTTATACAAATTTAGCTGAACCTTAACTTATTTTTTTAATAAACCCACATCGATATGACCTTAGGGAATGGGGTAGCTCAGTGTTAGGTTACATAACTACTCATAATGCTAAAGGTACCAGGCTCGAATCCCGGCTCATGGAAGAAAAATTATTTATTCTGTTTTATTGGCCGTGGGGAGGCCCTGGTTAGATAGACCCTTGGGGCACAGCAAGCATCTATAAAGTGGGTACCCTTAATTGAATAGTTAATTAAGGGAAAAACCTGGTGGTTGACCGTGATCTCGTTCAAATCACCCCTCCTTGCCCAACGGTAGACCAAGAAACATTACTTTCCCTAAATAGTACTGAACCCAAGACCCTTATAGGTTGTAGTGGTGCAGGTTTTTTTTTTGTTTTTTTTTTCTATGTGACCTTACAGCTTGTTAAACGAGGAAGTTTTTCTAAAATCGGAGTTTTTATAGTATCGTCTGAGAGTGATAAAAAAAAAAATCGGGAATAATTAATGATATATTTAAAAACAGAACTTAGCATAGTTTATCCAGTCGAAAATTCTGTATAAATGGTTTTAACAATAACATGCTTTATTTTCAACTAATGTAAATTTTGTATAGTTTACTGTGAAGACATTTTTTATTAGTTAAATAAAATATTTTTTAATTATCCTACTCTGAAATAACCGTGATTTACTAATAAAAAAAATTTAATTTCCTACTTTCCTACTGAAAATTAGGGCATTGTTTTTATCAACTTTTGTGTAGCTCTTAAGATCTATAAGGCTATCGCTATTTAAATATTACAGGACATCCTATATAAATATGCATATACAAACTAACAACACTATTCGATAAATTAAACATTAATTTTTAAGTTATGAATCTTCTTCCAATCTAGAGATATGTATACATAAGATTTTGAGCACAAACTTGTATATCCTTGATAATACATAAAATTCAACATAAAATTTCGTTTACGAAATCTTGTTAAAGCACCAATGATGAAGTTTCTACATATTGAATATAAAATAATAAATCCGTGGAATATTACAAAAACGTCTCGTGATAAGAGATGATGGAAAATGAACTGTTATTGAATTCGAATAATGACTGCTAATTCAAGCAAATAGAACATAAAAATTTATTTTTTATAGAGTTGAATAGCCCAACGCCATTTAGCTGAAGTATGGATTTTTCCTGGTGAAATAGAATTTAACTGAGTACAGTCATGGAATGGAAAAATCGTTTTAATCTATACTTAAATAATGAAAAGTAAAAATAAGTTGCCATCATGAAAAAATTTAAATTGAAAAATACAACGCGTTTAATCAATTATAAGAATTAAAGCAAGAACAACCAAAAGTTTTAAGATGAACAAAAATCATTTTGCTGTAGGTTAACTAACTAACTCATTTCAATGCAAGAAATGTTTCAAAAACCTTGGAATTAGTTATATAATAATGAAACCTATTGTCACCTTCACGAAATCAATGCTATTCTTGTTTTTGTAAAAATTAACATTTATTATTTTCTACTTTGTTTTAAATTACTTTCATCCTTATTGTTTTGCTCTTGCACATATAACTTCATCAAATCCAATGATTGAGCCCTCATTTTGAAGATTTTTTTTGCTTCAAGTGGGAAAAAACATTCACATTTCTCTGAAATTTCAGGAAAAATAGTTATGACTGAAAAGAAACTTTATTTGTGAATAACTAAAAAATTATACATTTTGTGTTGATTATCTGAAAAATTACTAAAATCCCTACAAAACAAAAAGAAAAAATAGAATTTGGACCATTATTAGCTGAGATTCAGGTGACTGTAATTCGTAAAAAATTTGGTTCATATTTTTTTTTTAAACTTATTTATTGAAAAATATTGCAATCTGTCTCAAAGGACATTTTTAATAGTGTTCAGAGATGACATTCACACCTGTAAAATTAATGAAGTTTTGTAATAATTTTATTTTCCTTGGCTGATTACAATTACCGAAAAAAAATAGGAGATGATTCCTTCATCTAATAAATGATGCATTGAATCATTTAATTTTATTATAATTTTTTCATTTGTTCACTGAGAAACATTCTTTACAAATCGCAAGGGATAAATAATAATTATTTATTAATAATATTCAAAATTAATAAAATAAAAAAATATAACTTCTTTTTTAGCCAGAGATTGTTGAAAATATTCGTATCTAGTCTCTAGATTCGTTAGTCCTCATTATATAATACAAATAGAAAATATATTTTATTCTGATTTAACTAAAAACGGTATTTTATTCACATATAATAAACTTTTTATATATATATATATATATATTTTCAATACCCTGCAGAATGGCCTTAATATTCCATTTATTCTTTCTCTTATTTCTAACAATTTTCTAAATTTTACCAGAATCTTACTCATACCCAAATCCCATAGCACAGTCCCTATCTAGCACTACCCCTCTCTACAATCCTCCTCGTAGGTTAAAACAGCAGTGGTCCCGTGACCTTTTATAATATATATATATATTGGAGTTCTGTCAATAGCTTCTCCAGATTCTCCATGCAAATCATGAATGCATGTGGCTAGCCATTACTCAGCCTCCGCTAGATTTTAATACCAGTGAAGTGGTCGAAGGAGAAGCACATCTGGATCTCCTGAAGCCTCGTTTTTCCCTCCACAAGTGGGAGGACAATCATGGTTCGCTGGTTGTAAATAGTCTATATAGGTTTGTCTGCGTCCAAGATGTTTATTTTATTTTTATTTTTTTTTTATTTTACACCTGTAAGTCTCTAATTTTATTCTTTCAATTTTATTTACTTATTTATCTAATTTTGGTTTCCTTTTTCTTTTCTTTCTCCACATTCCTTTATGTATTATTTCATATTATATCCTTTTTCTTTCAATCTCTCGTGTAGATTTTGTAGAAGTATATTCACATTTTCATTTATTATATATTACACTACAATTGTTAGCATCTATTTACTTCAGTTTAGGATCTTGTTACTCAGCTTACTTTGTTCATATTTTAATGTACTTACTGTTTATAATTTTAATAAGCTTATTCACATTGTTTATAAATTATGTCTAAATATTATGTAACTGCCACAATTCTCTATCTTTTTGTATCTTGTCCGTTCTAGCCCTGATGAAGACCTGCAAAGTCGGGTCGAAACGTCGGCTTTCAATAAAATAGTTTTACCACTATTTAGCCTATTTATGACCGCAACCCCGGACCATCTCCTTCCTTTATAATGCAACGGTCAACTATTAAATATTCAATATTATTATTTTTTTTTCTTATTATATTTTATTATATTCTTATTTCGCTGTATATTATATTGTTATTACTTTACTTATTTATGATTCTATAAATATGGTATGAATGTGCTCTCTGAATTCTGTGTCCTTAATTGAGGCAGATTGTAGTTTTCTCAATAAAAAAGTTAAAAAATATATATTTTAAATAATAATAACCCAAAAAACTGATAAAAAATGGTTTTGGTAATAAAATCAAAATTAAAAGCTTATTAATGAAAGTATTATTAAATACGTAATGGTTCTCCTCTAAAAACAAATTATATATTAAAAATAATATTTAAGAGGAAGGAGGTAGTCTGAGGTTGCGGTCATAAAGAGACTAAAATGGTGGAAAACTATTTTATTTAAAGCCAGCGTTTTCGATCCTACTTTGCAGGTCTTCTTCAGGGAGGTGCGTTTAGGAAGGTGCGTTCATTTAAAGCTGAACTGACCACTTATCAGTTAAAACATTAAAATGATATTTTATGTTTGTAAAACGTTTTTAATTATTTTAGCAAGGAGTTCGAGTACTACCAGAGGATTACGACAGAGACTAAGGACCCGAAGAAGCAGAACGCAGTAGTGATGGGAAGGAAGTCTTGGGAATCGGTCCCGCTCAAAGATGGTCCACTGGCAGGCAGGCTCAATGTGGTTATATCTACCACTATCAAGTAATTTTTTATGATTATATTGTAATGGCATTGCTTTCCTTTTAAACATTTTGTATTTAATACAATGTAAATGAAATGAAAAAATAATTTTATTTCGTGACTACAGAGTATAACAGAAGAATAATAACAGAGTTCGAAAAATTGTGCCTATTAGTCTGGTTTGAAGAAATACAAAGAGGTACTTGTCATTTAACTCTTAATTTTATTTGAAATTATATAGTTGGTCGAATTATACAGTATACAAAGAAAAGTAAGTTTTACATGTATACAAAAAAATGTGTAATTTATTGAGAATTTAATTTGCGAAATTTATTGAGGATTTAACAGGCGGGAATGTTTAATTTAGAGTGACTATCATTACTTTTTATTTATTTCATTTTTTTTTACTAGCGCGATCGAGTTACTGTCATCCCTGGCTTTGAATAAATAATATGTAATTGTCAATACTGACCAAATTAAAAACATATAACAAGTTTAATACTTCATTTAAAAAAAAAAAATTAAATATTTTGCATTATTACGTACATGTAACTTTATATAGTTATATTACATTATACTACGTCATCATGAAATATGTAACAAATTAATGTCTAAACAATGTAATGTGTACAATAAAAACCACAAGACGTGGATTTTAAACATTATATCGACCAACAATTTAAACATTGCTATCCACCAATAAAATATGTTTACAATATGTATTTTACGTAAAATATTTATACTTCAAGTAATTACATTGCGTGAAATAATTATTTTACACGAAACACTTATATTTAACATAAAATAATTGATATAAATGGCAACTGATAAGTGCTATAGAGCAAAAATATTATAAAATTAAGTATTTTACGTAAAATAAATATTGTAAAAATATTCGCGGTAGATATCAATATACCTTGTGGTTCGTATTGTAAAGATTACATTGTTTAGATATTGTATAATTTATTAGCTGTTTTTTATAACAACGAATTATAATATAATATAAATATATAAAGTTATTTATGTATTAATAAAAATATATGGAGCCATATACAAACCTTAAATATGCAATTTAAGTTTCGTACGACTTTTCGTTTTTGAGTAAGGCTGATAACATACATACAGACATTTTACGGGACTTGGTTATTTCGACTCAGGAGACCTCAAAACATGTATATATATTCCCTTTTCCTTACTATATTCCATATTTAGGTATGAGAAAGTAAAAACCAAATGACATTGTTTCATGTAGCAATTTGCGCCATCAAAAATTTTGAGAGGGGTATTTTGACGGATTTTTTAAGTTTTGATGAGGACAAATTTCGATTGAGTTATGAATTTTTACCTATCATTTTTAATTTTTTTTTTAATTATCTATTTTTTAAATTTTTAATTATCTATTTTTTTTCTTATCCCCAGTTTCATAAAGGTTTGTTTCTTTCACATGGTGAACATTTTCTTAGTTTTGTTTATATTTATTACTGGACTTTCAATCTGGGTGATGGGGCTCACCTCTATCTTGATAATTTTCTTGGGACTATCTTATAATCTAACTTACAACTATGTTTTGCCATCGCCGAGATGGCTGAAATGTTATTGTATTGAATTCTGCATTTGTTAAATATTTTAAAGAATCATAGAATTTTATTATTATTTTGTTTATGAATCCAGATACAGTGGGTAAATTTAAGAAGGCGTGGAGTTTATCTGATTTTTGTTTTTCAAATGACGTATTTTTAGCTATTCTCATTAGAATTCCATTTTGGAATCGTTGAAGTCTCTTTCTTGTGTTTTCGGAAATGTGGGACAATAGAGGAGCACCATAGAGAAGGGAAGGGCTTAATTTTAATCTGAGACTGAGGTTTGAGGTTGTGAGAAGGTGACTGAATTCTACCTTAGCTTGCTCTGTTTTTAAGAAAAGGTGAGCAATAAAATATTTTGGGAGGAGGGGAGATGTAGATTCTTGCCTCATCGACCTTGGGGGGGTTGGGCACCCTGACTCCTGTAAATATTTTCCTCTACTTTATAGGATGCTCTCATTACCTAGCTTCCTTTAGATCACTTGAGGAGAAATTATGTGTATGTTGTTTTGTAGGCAGAACAAAACCATATAAATTTCGTAAAACTTTCGGTATTTACAAACTTTTTTTCTGTTTTTTTTTTAAGATTTCAAATTGATTTGCTGTTAAGAAGTGTCTCACTCTTTGCTCTCTAATTTCGGGCAATTTCTTTTTTTTCACTGCACTAAAGTATTTTTTAATAATTTTGCAGATTTTTTAAAAGGATATTAGAAGATTTATGGGCGTGAATTCAGTTGGTGTAAAAGTTTTTGTTGGGAGTAAATTATTAGTCAAAAGACAAATCGAATAAAAAACGTATTTGGCTTAGACGTTAGCTATTGCATTCAGTAATGCAGATTTTAGTAGATATTCAAGATTATACTACAAGATACATCCGTATTGACGAGGTCGCGGTTTTCGCTTACGCGGTTTACTTGTACATTATCGGAGGTAAAAATTACACCCGCCATAATTAACATAATGGGACGAGATGGAAATCATAACAATAGTTTTTCCACAACAATCGCTAGAGAGGGCAATTAAACTACATAAGATACAAAAAAAAAAAATTCTGTTTGATACTTCGGAACCAAAAAAATGTTTCGAAATTCTGTCATTTTTAGAAAATAATTTTCGGCGAACTACAGATTCGTGTTAGGTAACATAAAAAAGTGAGGTATTCCAAAATGCATGACAAAAACATAACATTCATCTATTTGTCACTACTATCTATCCTAGTTTGACTGGACTAATAATTTTAAATGTCACTTCTTATTTTTATTATTTATTTACTGAGTAATATCATATTCTATCTCATGAATAATCATTATAATGATGTAAGACTACATTCACAATATATGAACAGAAAATATAAACCAAACAGAAGAAATATAATAAATAATTAATAATAAAAGAATAACTTAAGACCAATATACACTACACCTATATTCGTTATTTATAATCAGGCTAAGGAACTCTTAGCCAGATTGTCGCTTTAAATGTAGAAGGAAAAGTAGGACTCCAGGAGATCCCTGCGCTCCTTCCTTAACCGCGTCACTTATGCAAAAACCAGTGGAAATTGAGCAAGTCTTCTTCTTATTAACATTATTATTTCCTTGTCTCCTAACATCGCATGTATTAGGATTTTCCGAATATGCTCATTTTTTTTTTTTTTTTTTTTTTTTTTTGTTTAAGGTTGATTTAGTGTTTTATATATGAACTATTCTGCTCTATTACCTTCTTACATCTCTCAGGAAGGCTCTTATGCCCTTTTTTTCCAAAATAGTTGTGACTTACTTGCAAAAAAAAACAACATGGAGATGCGTTTTTATTTCGCTTTTGGATTTGTGACATTTGTCACGGAGAGAATGTTTTAACGAATCAAGTAATAATCGGATGGGGCATGATCTGGAGAGTATGGAGGATGAGGTAGAACAACCCAATCAAACTGTAAGAATTTCTTTCTTACGTCTATCACAACATGAGGCAGCATATAACACAGTAAATCAACCTTAAATAAAAAATAAAGGAAAATGAAACTTTTGGGACTCTCTATTATAATGTTCCATGTATTTATAATATGTTTAAAACATGAATAGTTTAAAAGGGTTCATTTAAAGTTGCGATTGATGTTTCAGAGATTCTGGAAATCCGGACGTCCCAGTCTTCAAATCTTTGGAAGAAGCGATGGAAGCACTCACCACTAAGCCTTTGTCTGACAAGATTGAAGATGTTTGGATAGTCGGAGGCGGCGCGTTATATAAGGTAAATTATTTTTAATATATTAATATATTTATGAGAAGGAGTTAGTCGGGGGTGCGGTCAAATAAATAATAAATTAAAATATATTAATTATTTTAATTTTTGCCGACGTTTCGACCCACTTTGCAGGTCGTCTTCAGGGCGTAGGATGTAGCACTGCGGGAGGGAGGCAATTGAAACACTGCTAAAAAAAACTTCGGCAAGAATTAAAATAATTTTTTTTTTTAATCTTATTTATTGAAAAATATTACAATCTGTCTCAAGGACATTTATAATAGTGTTCATAGATCACATTCAAAATCTATATATATATATATGTATGTATATATTTAGATTTATTTATATTTATAAATAAATCTATAATATATTTTAATTTATTATTTATTTGACCGCACCTCCTACTAACTCCTTCTCATATTATATCAACGGTCAACCATCTCTACATCATTAATATGAACTTTAAGATATTACTTGTTATATTAATATGTAAGAGGTTTTATGGTGACATCACCAGCTGAAACAAAGAGAGAATTCATATATTTTCAAAAATGGAGAAAACACATATTTGCGAATATTCAGCTGACATTACGGCCTGTAAATCGTTAATGATTCATTCATTTGGAGAAACAGGAAGACTAATTTAATAATAGACGTTCCTTCAGCTAGATGCAGAAAAAAGTAACAAATAATAGTCCACGGTACAGATACCTTTTTATCAAATTATTAACTTCTGTCTAAAACTTCATAAATAGCTTCATCTCACCGTAACCTATAACTTTTTTATTTAAGAAAATTCTCGGAATTGGGGCGTTTTCAATCTGGATATCAGTAAACTTTCTCTATTTAATTAGGTACTAAAAACTTATGAATACTTAATCGATTTCTACTTGAATCTTTATATAATTTGATAACAAAATCTAGAGAAAAGGTGGCCTACAAAAATATTGGGCCATTTGGCACGATCTTCACCTCCCAATATGTCAAAATAACCAAGTTATACAGCCCAAAAGGTTGAATATTTTTGTAGGCTACATTTTTTTATCGATTTTCTGATAAAATCATCTTACAAAATGAAAAACAAATGACTATTCAAGAGTTTTTATTAACTTATTTAGGGCCAGTTGCTCCAACACAGTACAGCTTAGATTAAGCGTTATCTAAGATTAAACCGTGTTTAATCTTGATTTGTTAACCGTGAGCGTTTAAGCTTTACTTCGAGGGAAAAACTTAGGGCCACTTGCACAATTTACGGTTTTAACCAAGATTCAGTTATCTGAGCTTAATCTACCAGTAACAGCTCAGCTCTGTTATTACCAGTCTGGGTCATTGGTGAGAAGTTAAATCTAAACCGAGATGTAAAGTAGGAGGTTACTAATAGGTTTTTCTACAATTTGTTGTGTGAGATTCTCAACGTCAAGTGTTTGTTTTCGTTTATTGAAAATCAAAGTTAAATTAATTCGTGTTAGGTATCAAAAAATATCTCACTAAAGCTGTTAAAAAATTCGCCATAAGACCAATGGAGAAAATAATTCATCGGAAGGCGATATACTTTTTTCCCCATTAGTAAAAATGCAATTTAATCGAGGAAATCTTCGTGACGTCGTCAAAATCTTCCATATCCATTTTTGTAAGAGCAAATATAAATAAAAATGATTAACACACGCGATACAGCAAAGATACCATAGAAGGTTACTATTAGTAGTGTGCTATTTTTTTGTCTGCTCTGAGTAATATTCTGTTTTCAGGAAGCTATGGACTCACCTATGTGCGATGGTATATACCTGACCAGAATCAACGCTAAGTATGAATGCGATGCATTCTATCCAGAAATACCATCAGATTATGAAGAAGTTCAGTAAGTAAAATATTATTAGTTCAGTAGTTTTGAAACATTTTAATATGCACAGAATAATAAAACGAAGTGCGAAATTTTAGTTTTTATTATTTAAAAAAAAATCGTTTATTTTCAAAATGAAACCTAATAATTGGATTATTTTTTAGGGGACCCGAAAGAAATGATTCTTCTTTTCCAATCTTTTCCAATTATAATATAAAAACTAACATTTTTTAAAAAATAAATAAAAACATTCTTTATATATAACAGATAGATTCGAAAATCAATAAATATTTTAATTACACACGCTTTAAACCATTCGGCCACCCCGCCCCCTTATACCATTTCATATATGAAGCTAGTATCGTTCTTAATATTTCTATAGTTTTTATCGTTATATATATATATATATATATATATATATATATATATATATGAAAAAAAAAAGCTTTCGGGCTAAAGCCTCCCTCCCCTCCACAAAAATGAAATTCTGGATCGGCTAGTGCCTCAATACAATTTTATGTTGTTGTTTTTTATAAGATGGTTACCTATAGATAGCAGTTACAAACGTTCGATGAATTTTTTGTTTCTCTTTCTATAATATAAAAATCTGGTGTGCGCAACACACTACATTCACTTACCGCTCTACTTGAATTTAAATTATTTGGAAGTGTATTTTTAACCGAGGTAAAGCTTAAAGCTCAGGTAAAACAAATCATTAATACCATCAAAATAACAAAATGTCTACATATTATATCGAAAATGAATTATGGATTGATTTTATGATCGGTTGATTATGTATTGTAGGACTATTATTAAAGTGTTTTCTTTCCGTTGCAAAGTTTACTAAAATGGAATTACGAGATTTGCATTACCTGTCATAGATAGGTCAATCGTTGTCACACTAATTGTAAGTTCGGATATCTCAAAAGGAAAATTCATCAAATTATTCACTAATTTAAATTTCTAAAATTTACATGATGATTTGTCGAAGCAAACGGACGATAAATACCTAATTATTTAAATAGAATGTCAGATCTAGTGTTATTAAACTACAGCAAATGTATTTAAGGTTACATATCAGTGAAATATTTTTGTATTTCACTTTTTTTTCACACAAATACAATGAAATAGTATTTTAAGCAATGTCATTATCTTGATTCGGTGTATTTTAAATTCTTTTTTATCAAACTTAAAAATTTATGAAGATTGGGCATTTAAGCCCTATAAGTGACATCAATGTGGATAACATCTAGGTGATATTAAAAATAACGTAATAATACACTGATATACCGAGTTTAATCAAAATCGTTAGACCAATTTTCGAGAAAATCGTAAAAATATCAATCACCGTTGATATAAAGTGCCACTTCTGGTTAGGCTATTTTAACGAAAAAGTTGCTGCCACATCTGAACCATATACAAATCTTAAATACATAAAATAAGTTTCTTACTTTTCGTTTTTTTAGCTAGAATTTTCACATATAGACACACATACCATTTTGCAGGACTTGATTATTTAGGTTTGGGACTTCAAAACCTGTATTGCTGTTGAAAACTGAGATTCAAAAATTATAACGATCGTAATAATTTCCCTTAGTATATATTACATATATAGTACATATAATAAGTGAAAGTAAAAAAGTGTATAGTGACCATGTCATATTTTATTTTACATGTACAAAACGGGATGGACCGTAACGAAGACACCATCGGGACGGACCGTAACGGAGAAACCATACATTTTATTCCCAGAATTATTTCCCCCTTATTATGGTTAAAAATTTGCAATAAGAATAATTATAATTATAAGATATTTAATTTAAATTAAAAATTTGTTCGAGGTGTGGTTTCATTTATTTTATGTACAATTAAAAATTATACAAGAATACATGTAAATTACAGCTATACAATTTGAGTAACTAGCATAACAACTCAATGAACGGTTGTATAATTTATAAAATGGGGAGGATTGGTCTGCCGTTCGACGGAAAGGAGATACCCTCCTGGTTTATAAAATAAATATTTTATCAATGATTAAAGCTGAATCATATAAGGAATTAAATTATAAAATTTAATGAAAATAATTTTTAAGAACAAGGAGGAAGTAAAGATACTATGTATTATGCAATCTACCTTTTCAACTTTTAGTCGGAACGTTATCAGCCTTAGACAGTTTGACAAATTTCGGAGCCGTTGTTATCAAGTACAAACAAAATGACAGTAATTTATATAAGGATATAAAAATAAATTAATTAACTGTTATTGTTATTTTTTATAGTGGCGTTGAAGGAGTACCGGAAGAACTTCAACACGAAAATGGCGTCACCTACAGATACACCGTTTTAAAACGACGAAAGTGAAGATTTTTAATTAAATTAAGGATATTATTATATAATATGCTTATAAATAAACGTATGTACTTTCTTTTTTCCAATGTAAGGAATTATTATAATAAACCATAATTAATTTTAAAATGAGATTTATTTTTGAATAATCGCTGTTTCTTGTTAAAATATTACCATTTTACCTTTATATTTAGCTACTACAGTAGTATTTTTGAAGGGCACTCAATGTTCTTATGTATGGTATCATCAAGGAATATATAAGTCCTTATATTTTAATTATTTTTATTTTACTTCCAACAACGTTTCGAATTGACTAGCTCATTATCAAGTCATCTACTAATAACAAAAAAGATAATTTACAACAATGATGGATCATTATCCAGTCATATAAAAAGTGAGAACTACCAAAATATTTGTATCTACTAAAATGTATTTCTATATTGTAATCTCATTCATGAACCATCTGCAGTGCACCAAATACAAATAATAACCACATTCCTGGCCTCTTTGTTTCTGCATTTATTGATGCTTGTCATTCTATAATAAAAATTCGTGAATGCGATTATTTCAGAACATATATGATTTCTATTATTGATTATTATTTTGTTTTATTTAAAATGTATGCTCCCCCGTACAGCCCTATCTTCAACCCTCTATTGTTTAACATTGACTGCACATTTCACCTCTTTAGGGATGTATGTCCCAGTAGGAATTATCCAAATAAGTGAATGGGATATAGCTCTGTTGATGCTTATTATTTTTCAATGACCTATTTAATTAAAAACTGATCTCATTTAATATATGGACATAATGTTGGCCTATATATAAAATCAGATTTAAAATTGACGGCGTTATTTATATTTTTAGTAATATAAATTGATTCTAGGTTATTTTCTAATTTTATTGTTTTGTTTTTAAAATTTTTATATTGTTAAAATCAAATGTATGCTTATTTAACATACTGTGTATGGGGATAAAGCCGTGAATTTTATGTTTTTAGTTTTTTTTACATTAGTTTTGTGTTGTTTTATTCTGTGTCTTAAATTTTGCAATCTTTCACCAATATAATGTTTTATTAATTAATTAATTTTATCTTATTTTCAAATGAATAATTTAATTTTCGTGAGTTCTGCGGAAAAAAAAATCGATACATAGATGGCGCAACTTCGAGTGGGTGATTGCCCTATCAATAAAAACCTTGAAGGAGCAAAACTATTATTTCGTCCTCACCTCTCTTCTCCCCCTCTCTATAATTTTAAGTAAAATCGATAGTAAGCACTTAAATCCTTGAGGTAAGTGTAATTTTGGATTTCATGGAAAATATTTTATGAAGAATTTTTGTTATATTATTTTCAACATAACTAGTCAGACTGTGAAAACATGTTATTTTTATTTTGAGGTATTATGAACTGAGGATTAAAAAATGTTCTTCAGTTTTAAACATCAATCATTTTTAGCGGAATAAGTTCTTGAAGTGTAACGATGGCGGCTGTCTTGCTCTCCCACATTTAATAAATATAAACATGTAATATATTCAATTGTTTTATATAGACATTAACGAGACAATAAGGATTCGTCACACGAAGCTATGTGAGTAATATGTACTGAGAAACAGAGCTATTTCCATTCCGTCTCTCGCCAGACAGCTTTAACTTTTTTTCTTTCTTGTTCGGATTACCAAGAGTTTCGAGACCGTCCTATACCTACATAAAATTCAATCTTGCACCTCTCAATCTTCTCCTAAACAACTCACCTATTTCGTTCTAAACTTCTGTTAAAAATCTTAGGGTTATTATTGATCGAACCCTCTCCTAGGAAACACACATCTCCCAAATTTCCCGTCCCACTACTTAAAACAGTTCAACCGTCAACGCTATCTACTTTCTTACAAAACCCGTCAAGTCCTGGTTTTCTCTCTTGTTTTCCCCCATTTCGACTATAGTTGTATGGTATACGGTGAACTTTCGGGAGATCTCGAAGCTAAACTTAAGGATTTATTTTAATAAATTCCAGATCATGGAAAAACAAGAAATAAAAGCTTTGCAACAGTTAACAGTAGCCATTTTTGCTGAAAAGGATACTATTATATAACCCAGTATTACACCAAGTTGAAGTGGCTCTATCCATCCAACCGCCGTCAGTACTTCCTTGCTACCTTTCTATACCTTTATATTCTTCAGAGCCTACAATTCAAATCCTCCATTCAATCTCGTCCCACCAGATCCCGTACTTCTTATCTCTATCCTCCTTCCCACCGAACTGCTGTGTTTGACAAATCCTTTGCAATTCAAGCTGTCTCCTTATATAGTTAACGCCGAGCGTGGTTAGCACTTGGATGAGTGACCGCCCGATTTGGGTGTCCGTTCACCAGGGAAAGCCACGCTACCCGAGACCCCTCGGGGTTTGTGAGGCCCGTCAGGCTACTGGAGACAACTCACACCGACCGGGGGTAGGACTGATGACCCTACCCCCGTGTACTTAAATCAGGAACCGGGATGTGGTGTTGAAGACCACATCTCGCGGTTAATGATCTAAAAGATCTGTAGCGCCAACCGAAAAAAAAACATATATATGTACATATATACATACACATATGCTTTTGTTTTGTTCTTGTTTCTTCCTATATTTTTATTTTTATTATATATAATTTTGTAAATATTTAATTTATTTTATGACCACACAGGCATTTTCTCAGCATTTATACTTTGTTCTAAAGGGACAACAGTCCCAGGATAATAAAAATATTTTCATTTCATTACATATTGGTTCAACCCTGTGGAAGCAAAATTGCCAAAACGGATCACCATGGGAAAACATTTTATACGAACACAAAAACTGTTGGTACTCAGTGAACGCGGAATTCGATACTATACAACTTTGATTCTACGAGTTTTTTTTTTCCTAGAGAAATCATTTCCAAGCTGCAGGACCATTTATAGTAATTTGTCTCAGTTTTTGATGACTTTGGTAAAAATCAGTATTCGTTGACCGTGGTTACCGACCAATTAACTAAACAACTGAGTTTAGTTACTCGTATGACGTACAATTAAACGCTTTTTAATTCCTTACAGAGTACGTTTTTCGCTTCGATTCACCGTTAAGCAGTTGTGGGTGAAAAAAACCCCAAAAAAAGACCGAAAAAATCTGGCTTTTTGACAGTTAAATTTTTTCCCTGGATAACTCGCGTTAGCTATTTTGTTTTTTATATTTTTAAACCCATATATGCAAGTTAAAAAAATAAAACCTTCCTAAATTTTTCGATATATATTTCCCGTTTCGATCTTTTAGTTACTGGCCCTAATATTCTTTTAATGAGCCACCATTTTTCAAAGCGAATAGCAGACATGGTATTACATATTACTTCACATATTACTTGGAATAAAATATACTTTTGTAATTTACATTCAAACCTTCGCCCTTGTTATTTCACTTTTTGGATCCTGGTTCAATATCTACGTCGATACTTGTTACAACACACTTTTCGGGATGACTAGGGCCTTTCTGATTTCAAAAGAAGATTGACATCCAATGCTAGACAGACAATAGGTCCGACGAATCTACTTCTCAAAGTACTTCAAGGATAGATATTTTATTATAAAAGACAACGATTTAAATGGTCATTGTGAAAGGAAGATGGAAGTTGAACGCTGACAGAGAGCTGTCAAATCATCTGTAATCAGCTAGAAGGTTACGTCTCGCTGTGGTTTTACTTTTATTAGTTCCTGCTGATACGATAGTCATCTATTTTAATCATCCCATACTTCACCTAGGTACAATATAAATAATACTACGATGTCCCAGTAGAACTCACAGTTTAGATAGTATTCTGTTCACTGTTTGCAAAACGATAGTCAATAGTCCGTTCAACACACAAAACTTCAAGTAACAACCACTAGCGGATACAGGATTTAATTTGGGGGGGGGGGCTTCAGCCCGAAAACTTTTTTTTTCTCATAAAAATTACGATAATTATTTTGGAAAAAAATAAAGAAACTATCTATTTGTAATGGTGTTTAAGTTATTCCTTAAGTCCTTTTAAATGTAATTACACGAACAATAATAGTTTAAGAGATATTTTTTAAATATATTTTTCCATAAAACATGGTTATATTTTACCATTTTGGGGGGGGGAGGGGCTTCAGCCCGAAAGTCCCCTGTAGATCTGCCCATGTACATCAGAAAAGAGATGGTTATATTTTACCATTTTGGGGGGGCTTCAGCCCGAAAGCCCCCCTGTAGATCTGCCCATGTACATCAGGAAAGAGTGGCCTCAAAGAGAAGTGCTGACCCCTAGACAAAAAAATGTTCTCTACAACTCTCTTGTGGGTCCTGAAAAAATCATTTTGCCTCCACTAAACATATAGTTAGGGTTCATGAAAAATTTTGTCAAAGAAATGGATTAATCAGGAGAGGCATTCAAGTACTTGAGAGGAAAATGTCTTTGCTAAGTGAAGCTAAGGTTAGAGAGGGTGTATTTGTTGGTCCACAATTCTGTGAGCTTCAACTAATGACGGAGATTTTTTTAATATTCTTCTGGGTAAAGAAAGAGCAGCGTGGGAAGCATTTAAAGCTTTAGCTAATGGTTTCTTGAATTTGAATGAATACTTCCTTACAAGTCCAAACAATATCCTAAAGTCAAAAATTGTGTCCCCACTATTTCCTTCTATATTCATTCATTGAATGGAGTATATCAGGTACGCACACTATGAGTCTTGTCCCATGATTTGTTCTAATCTGCTATTCAAGCAACAAAATATAGGACAGATTGTAAGACTGCATAATTTTTAGATGCATGAAATATGAAAGAGAACATGAATTAGCACCAGAGGGAGACTCGACATTTTAAAAAAAAGTGGGCAGAGACACAGGCAGATCTATGGTGGGGAGGGGGAGGCTTTCGGGCTGAAGCCCCCCATAATGGTAAAATATAACCATGTTTTACAGAAAAAAATGTTAAAAACTATCTCTTAAAGTATTCTTGTTCCTGTAATTACATTTAATAGGACTTCAGGAACCACTTAAACACCATTTTATTTAGGTAGTTAATTTCTTCTTTTTTTTTTTCAAATTGATGAATGGATCCGCTAGTGGGCAGAGAGAAGATCA